CAAGGGCAAACCAGAGATGTCCTCGGCAGAGCAGCACATGGGGTCTGCGCTGTGTGGCACTGAGGGACCTGGTGGTGGTCAGTTCAGATTAAATTATGGAGCAGAATCCCATGTCCCTACTTTCAGTGTGGTGATTGAGGTCGCAGAGCAGTTCTGGTGCAAGGGAAATCAGCTCCTGGCTGTGCTGGAGTGGGGGATAAGCACATTCCGAGTAGGAATGCAGCCTCCACTAGCATGTGCTTGGAGATTTTGGCACACAGCTGGCAGACACATTACAAGGTGGGATTTGAATAAATCAACAGTGGAACTCAAATCAGGAGTGATTCTACTGCCATTACAGCAAACAGCATTACCATAATGCTGGCTGAGAAAGAGGTACTATCAGCAGCAAGAATTACATTAGAATGGCACAGGACATACAGGCTTACTCTTCTTCCCTTCATCTTGAAGACACTGACAGTTATTGCTCCTGAAAATACTCCTCTACACTAATTACATAAAATCCTGACAGCAAACCACCCATTTTCATTAGGACAATGAATGAAAGTTTTGTGCTCACACCAAAGCTTTTAAGAACTAAACGGCTTCGTGCTTAAATGCTGGTAAATGGAAATATTAAGTGAAGTTCCTCTCATTTACTTCTCCATGAGATTACAGGTTGTCATTTGCATGACTTCAAACAAACTATCTTTACTGCCTGTGGACAAAAGCAAAACCAGCACAACAAATAGGAGATATTTTCCCATTTACTCATAAACGCTAATTAAATAAGTAAGCCTCTTGTGAATAAACTTCAATTAATGACAGGTTATTGTAAATTATTCTTGAAGCCTTTAATACCTTGTAGATTAGATTATTTAGTAACACAAACAGCTATCTGAAGATATCAGAAATGAATTCCTGGAAAACATAGCATTTTCCTACAGCTGCTATAAGAAGCTGTTTGCACATCTGTAGTTTGAGGGAACCTTGAGAATTCCCACTCCTGTTCCTGTCTACTGACAGAAATAAGACATGTCGAAAGCAACACTCCAAAGCGTGGTAAGAACTGAGAGGTATCAAAACTTGAACAGTAAACAAGAAAATCCTATTGCAAACAGTCCTCCAGCTAACTGAAACTCACTGTAGCTCCATCTGAACAGGGAACTCACCCAAATTCTCCTTGTGGATGTTCATCAGACGTTTTTAAATACTGTTTTTAACATTACCATGCTCTGCCCTGCAGAGTCAGAATTACACAGCGGTGCCTCGATCATTTCTATGGTTCATAAATCAGTCACTGACCAATTTCCAGCTATAGTTTTGTTGGAGATAATTGCAGAAGAAACAGCTTGACTTTTAGAACCAATTAGGCAATCACAATACGTAGACTTTTTTTTTTTTCAGCTCAATCACCCGAGATAATTTTACAGCAAAGTCAAAACAAGCATTTCAGACAAAGCTGATGAGCACTAGGGAGGCCTGGCTTAACCAGGCAGCTGGGTCGTGGTGAGCCAGGCACAAGGAGGTGCATGCTAAGGAGCAGCAGGAGCTGCTGCAGCATTCTGGGTTCAGAACTGAAACTCCTGAGGGTGGAAAAAGCAAGGTATTAAAGCAATAACACCGTTATTTCCTGACAGGCATTTAAAAACTGCTACCTTTAGTGAAATGAAAAACCTGAGAGCAGAATGAATTAAAACAAATTCTTTGATTTCCACCTGAAAAGCTCCAGCTTTGGCTGAAACTGAAAAAAGGAAGCTACTTGGGAGACTCAACCTAAAGTAACCTCTGCAGTCCTCAGCTTCATAGATACTCTGTTTTAGAGAGGAAAGTATGCAGTAAAACCATGCAAAACCTCACAGCATGGAGACAGAAAGGTAAGCAAGCGCCTGCAGCTAACTCATAAAGCAATGAATGATTGCACTGAAATATCAGTCTAGAAGTACAGCATCTCTCTTTGTATATTTCACAATCTGTGGAGCAAGCCGCCAGATTTTTATTTTTATTTCTTAAGAATTTAGAATTCAGGACTGTTTCTATGGATAAAGAAAATATTTGCAACTGCATCAGTGTTGATAAAAGAATACACAAAGAGAATCTTTTCAAACATTACCCATAACCTTTTTCCAGGGTTACAACTCAACTTGCTCCATCCAACACAGGAATTCAGGAAGACCACACACATCAGTGCCTTCACTAGCACACAGGGTGCAGCTCCCATAAAGGGAAGAACTGGAAGACAGCACCATGCTCAACACCTGGTAACTCCGACAGAGTTCAGCTGTGAATGAGATGGCAGCAAGTGAAGCAAAATGCCAGGATACAGAACTCACAGAGCCTTTTATTCCCCCCCCTTATGAATTATGTACGCTGCCAGAACACATTTTATCAGGAAATATTCACAGTTTTTTTGGCCTGTTTTCAGAAAGTCAAAAGGTGCAATCTGAATGCCTCTTCAAGTTGCTCCCAATTTGATACTGTAAGTATTAAGAAGGTCACAGTAACTTATTTTGAAGGTTTTTTCTTGTAAGAGCTCTGCTGCCACCACTAGGATATGGAAGATGAGACAATCTAAAACTTCCAAAGCCTGCTGAAAGGTTAAGAGTGCATCATACAGATGAATGCAGCAGCAGCCTAAGGCAAAGCTGGCTTGGTTTGTGCATGTGGCTTTTGAGGTTGGGTAGGCTTTTCTTTTGTTACCTATTTAAATGGCTTTGTTAATGCACGCAGAATGGCTGCACTGGTGACACCTGACAGTATTTGTCATCAAAATCCAACATGTTTCCTGCATTCTCCAACAAAACACTGTGGCAGCATTTTAGAGTATTTGACAAAGTTGGGCACTGCTCCTTCCTACAAAATCACATCACTCCACATAATGTTCTGGTCGAAAGTGAACACGTACCTACCACAGAATGATTCATGTCTATGGAAAAGTAACTTGTTTGGAGATAAACCTGCACAATGCTGTCTGTTCCATCCAAGGACTGTAATTGGTCTGGCATCTGAGCACTTGGAGACTAATGAAACTAATAGCACTGTTCTGGAAACGGGGCTTGCAGCTTCCCAGCATCCCTAAATGGCTGTTCCTGCTTGATTTTGTGAAGCTACTTCATGCGATCACATTTCTACAGAGGCAAAACATGGAAGTCAGGTTCTTGCTGTGGTGGCATTGCAAAAGCACACGAAGCCATCGCAGAGCAAGTGAGGGAACGCTGACTGAAACCGCATGCTTAAAATGGGCCCTCTGAAAACAAAACCTGAAGTTTTAAGCTATGAAATCTGTGGTGCTTCAGTGCCCACGGGGAGTAATGACACCCAGAGGGGATGCTAGATTTTAATTTACGGAGGGTAAAAACACCCTAAATTGCTTCATAAAGCTCATTAATTTCACTCTTCTGGCAACTGAGATACTAGGATGTTTCCTCTATGAAACTAATTAGTAAACTGATGCAAGAACAGAGCGGAAAAGAAAATTAATACATATCTTCCTAACCTTACTGACGATAGGAAGTTAAATACAGTGTCACTAATTATTCCCACCCACAGTCTTAACATGAAACACTATTTTAATCTTCCTAAGATACCGTAAATAAAGCTAGGAGAAGAGGTAAGAATGTATGTGCATTCTTGTCAAGTTGTACTACTGGCATAGGAATTTTCCAATTGTCTAAAGCTTAAACATTTGTAGTCCAAAAACTTCCTCTGGGAATGAAATAAAGAAACAAGAACAGAAGCAGTGTATTGAATTACCTAATGTCTCAATTTAAGCTAATTTGCAAACAGAAACGTAAGAGAGAAGACAAAGTATGCTTACTGATGAAAAATAAGCAGAAAGTATTTAAAAAACACAAAACAACATACTCTGGTTCCACTTTCCAGGAAATCAGGCAGCTCATAAGGACGTTTTAGAGATTAAAAGGAGGAAGACATAGATCTCATTCATAGTTAGAAAAAGCAAAGCAGGTATTAGACAAAAATTCTAAATCTGGCTTTTGAAAAGAAACAAACAGCTGACATGCTCACCCATTATCGACCCAGCTAATGCTCTTTGGGAACAAATTCTAGCAGGTTTCCTATCAAAGGCTGGAGAGATTTTTACTCAGTGCTCTGCAAGACTCTTCCGACAGCGAGGTCATGGAGCAGCAGACAACGGAGTGCTTTCCGTATGGAGATGAGGGCACTCGCTGCACTGAGGCACTCCTGGGGAGACTGTCACAAAGGATGTGTATCTCAGCCAGGAACTATGGCTCTGAATTTTTTCACACTGCCCAGCTGTTGTGGGACTGACCTCAGATGCCATTCTGCAATCATGGTGGCAAAACTGCCATCAACTTCATAAGGGGCAAATTCTACTTACGTTGTGGTGACTCGGGTAGCGTGACTGCAAGGCAAGCTTACAGGGCAGAGGCAGTCATTTCCCTGCTGGAATTACTAGAACAGGCAGGAGCAGCCTGCTTATGCAGTACTGAAGTGTGGACATGTTTCTTACCAGTTCCAACACTGGGGATGAAACACGATTCAAGGCACAGCAGTAACTACAGTCTAATTCTATGTTCCATACGGCATTTCTCCCAAATGCACTGTGCCTTTTAGTCTTCCAAGGAAAAAATGTTCTTAAGACAGCCTGCTGGCTTGTCAGAACTGTCAACACAATGGAAATTGGAAGGGTTATGGATTACTGTTGGTCCTGCTCACAGCGTGCTCTTCTATTTGTTGCCTGGGTAAAAAGACCACCAAGAAATCAGACCACCCTTACTGGAAGTGGTTTCTCAGGGTTACTGTAATCATATCATCCCACAAAACTTGTTATCACTCAAAGCAGCCACACTAGAAATAGACAACATTCCTATATCTGGTTAGCACAGTAATTGTTTCAGTATTGTCACCAGCTTGTTGAAAGACAAAAAACACAACAGTTGTTCCTAGAGCAAACTGCATTTATCTGACTCCTCGCAAGTCTGTAAAGGTAGTTTAAAAGATTATCTAGTTTGCTGTATGTATCTGAAAGGAAATAGTACCTTTAATGTTCTAGTTGGAGCCCAGCCAGTGCCATCAATTGAATGTTCTCTCAATAAACTGAAAAAAAGACAAACATATTATATACACTGTAATTTCCAGTTAGAGAAACTTTGTCTTCTCAGACAGCTATAACAACTTTGGAAGAAATTGCCACGTTAGTATTACATCCCTCTTGCACTCTATCTAGCATCAGGACTTTTGAAAGCACCAAAAATCGGTATGTTGTCCAAGAATTACATTCTTCACACAGCTCAGTTTGGTCAAAAATCAAATTATTCTAAGTATACTAAGTGTGACAGCAGTCCTGGCACTCCCAACAACGAGCCTTTATTTACCCCTGAATGCACAGACACACACAAGTGCTCCATTTCCAAACACGCTCATCTGTGGTGAGCAGGCAGTTCCAGCAGCATGTCCTGGCTCCTACCACATCTGGCACAGCTCAATCCCTCTAAGAGGATATTTTTTGGAGAGACATCTATTTATCAGAGAGGATTATTATCATCCTCCCTTCTGTACAGGGACTGCAGCTTCTTAAAATCAGGGATAGGAAAATGAAATAGCTCTGGTCTTTCCTCCATGCACGTGTATGAATTTTAGCTGACCTGCACACTGTGCTATGTAATAAGGCCACTGAAACTGTTGAGCCATTTACAAGATGAAAGAGTTGAGGTGTGTTCAGTCGGTCAGAAACTCCTGGAGCTCCTAGGTAAAAACATCATCAGACACGAGGAGTAAAAGTATTGGAGACTGGAGCGTAACTAAGAAACACCACAGGTGATGAAAGACTGAGAAAAGCAGAAGTCTCACTCATGTGCACGAAAGCAAAGTTAATACTCTGAGAAACTCCTGTAAGCATCATTTCACAATTGACTTCCTCTGTTAAGAAGCATTCTGAAACTGAAAACTCACACAGCAAAGTAACAAAGCACAGGGATTTATCAGTAGCAATAGCTTCTGCTGCTAACGTGATAGGGTTAAAGTGAAATACTCTAAAGCTATTCATTTTGCAGGGGGTTTTTTGTAGTCCTTCATTATCCCTTTAAGAGTCTAGGAAGAAGATGGACCAAGTATCCCATCTTAACCACGTTGCTAATCCCATTTCAGTGCCTTTGAAAAGACAAAATGTGCTTCCACCACCAACAGCATCCAAAACTAATTTCAAAAACATTAAAAAAACGTTTGGGCTTTTATTTTTGTTCATGTTATAGAAGTAAAGCAAAACAAGCAAAAATGATGCTGAACAAGGAAGAACCAAGGTTTTCAGGTTTTGAAGAAATAATGGACCTTATAAGCTTTCTTCTTCTCCTTCAATTTTGCTGCAGTACTTCCCTTTACTTTACCATACAGCCCCCAGTGAGCTTAAGAGCTAAGAATAAGTGAGCGCATACAAAAAAAGCATGCAAGTATCAACTGACAGAACTCCAAGCACCTGAGAACACCAGCCAAACCTCATTAACACCCCTGCAGCTCCCAAAGCCTCTCTCTCTATGCGAATCTCCAGCTCAGCAGCCAGGACTGAAGAGGACACACTCATTTCTCATGGTGCTTTGGCAGGAAAGCAATGCAGACAGATAAGTGTAGCTCTGCCTCGTATTTCAAATTTGCTGATACAACCCATTCTAAGAGCAGCACCCCCTTTCCTCCCATAGATCAGAAACAATCATTTGGCTCCTAACCAAAGCCCTTCCCCAGCACAGGGTGCCTGGAGAAACCACATCTTGTCTTCTCACCATAGAGCAGAAGCACAGCTACGAAGCAGCAAAACTTCAGAGTGGTTAAGCTTTTCCAAAAGCTTATGTGGGCAAGGAGGAAAAAAAAAGCCAAAGATCATCAGCAGAGGTGAAATAAAATCAGGGATATGTATTAGAAGTTCTATTATTAGGAAAAGGATGAACTGGTGTATGTGGCAAGCATATTGTTTCTAGATATCTTGGTGTTTCCAAGCAACATCCATAAGTACGGTCCAGATCTAATTTGAGTGACTGCAATTCATAAGGCACAGGAAGAATGCTTCTTGTGCCCCAATCTATTGCACCTGACTCAAGTTTAATCATTCACTGTGTTTTAATTAGGAACAATTACACACCGTGGTGTAAGGTATGCTCAGAAGAAAACAGCTGGAAAAATACTGATAAGGAATTACTTCTGCTTTAATAAGTACCCAAAGACATTTCTATATGAAGAGACTGATAGAAGCTGATTGCAGGTACTATATATAGATTGCATTCTCCATTCTAGCAGTCTGGGTTATTTTAGATTTCCCATCTAAACGGTAAGACATTCAAAGGTTTAATGTGCTTAAGTATCTGACAATCAAATAAAGCTGACATTTCAGTGCAGACGCCAAAGAAATGACTTCACTTCATTAACCAGAATTAAGATGTTCCAACACTACATTTGTCTGACATAATTAAAATCATTTGAAGAATAGACACACTGAAACATCCTCAAGAGTGCGAGGAGGCTTTGTTTAACCTCAAAAGATACAGCTCTATAGTCAAAGCTTAAACTTTTACCTATCCGTTGGTGTCCAGTATTTCCTGTTCAGTTTCTAAACGCTTCATCCATTCCTTGCCTTTACTTCAGCTCTTTGATTAACAGCACCCAGGTTCTCCCCATTGACCAGGTATCCACCACCACCCTCCAACAGCACCAGCTCCTCAGAAGCACGGAGCACATCACTGAAGCTCAAAGCACTGCTATCAGCTCTCCAGCTGCTACCAACCAATGAGCCAGAGCTGCCCACCAAGGGAGAAAGGCTACCCTGTGAAAGCTTTGTTTGCACCAGGACCTTGTATTTCAAATCTAAAGGACACAAAATATATCTTTTTAAGCACTGCCTTGCTACATGCGGCAGCAACTGTTTCGGATTTTCAGAACAGCTTTCAATCTTACTTATTTTCACCGCTTACGCTTCATTAGTATTTCTTTCATGTTCCATTAAGTTGAGGAATGACAGTCCTGCTTCTTACTTCTGTTTATGTTAAGCTTCCAGCCAATTTCACCACTGGGTACACGAAATGAAACACTGAAATCACAAGGTTTCTGGAACTGATTTTGAAGAGAAAACATTTACTATTGTGAAAAACCTGCCAGCAGTGTAGCTGTGTTCCTTTGGGAAAGGTCAGCTTTTGGGCTTCATACCCCGCCTCATGTTCCCCCAACTCTGTTTTCTTATAACCAGCATCTGTCTTTCAGTAGATATTATATGTGAAAATAAATACATATAGAATAGTTACTGTAAAGTTGAACAGATTTTTTTTTTTTTTTCTGTTCTGAAAAACAGTTTCCAAGCACTAAAATAATATAGGCATTAACAGAGCAAAGCCTTCAGCCTTCTCAGGGCCTGAAAATTATTCACCTATGAGGAGAGGAAAAAAGGGGAAAGGGAAGAAGCTGTGTCCAGATTGGATGTTACACTCTTATCCTAAACAAAACTTAAAGTTAAGTCTGAAATTGAAGAGCCAGGTTCTACCCAGCACATACTGCACAGCAAGAACAACACTTTCTGTATATTTCTATGTTTTTAACACATAGTGCTCTGATTTCTAGAAACCACTGACAAAAGTAACAGTGACTTGAAAATCACATACAACATTTCATCACACAGAAAGACCTTCAGGATATTAAAAAAAAAAAAAAAGAATGCTGTTGCTACCTTAAGCAGATTTCTCCTGTCTCTGTGATGTTTGGATGCCAGATTCTTGTCAAGCATTTTACTTTCGGAGGCTGCCAGGACAGAAAACAGAAAATTACAGTGTTATTCTTCAAAATAAAGCCAAATCACAGTTAAAAGTCACGGAATTGAAAAGAGAAATATATTTGATGCTCACAGCATATGTTTGCATGTTAAAGATCCTGACAGTGTAACTGCAGGAGGTACACCAGCTTTCTCTGTCCTTTTAGCTTCTTTCTACTCTCTACTAATGATGGCCTTTTTCCTCGGAAAAACTGATTTTAAAGCAAGACAAGAAAATTCATTCTCTTCTCTTGTCTCCTTCAGGGAAAGCAAAACAAAACCAGGTTAGTCTCTTAAGCACCGTTTCAGTGTGTCAGCTCCTGTGCAGAGCTGGATAGGAGTACAAAGAAAGGCAGTCCTATCCAAACTGAAGATGCTAATGTGAAAAGCCACCCGACTTATTTTTAGCTAAGGTCACCAGAATGTTGAATTAGACAGCGAGTTCTGAAACACGGATTCTTAAAATACAGTCTCATTTGCTCTACTTTTGTGAAGTAAATAAAAAGCAGGTCATAAAAATGCCGGTAGCTTAGCAACAGCATCTTATTCCATCGCTGTTCTCCAAATTACGATTCGCAGCTTTCAATCAGGCAGATAATTTCTTACAGCAGCCGTACTGTAAGACCAACACAGACCAGTAGCTTTCAGAACTTCAATTAAATCTGCTGTTATAAATGTGGAGCTATTTTCCCCCACTGCTTCCCAAGAAGTCCTCAGTCAGGAGAGAAAACAGCTCTAATAGCTGCATCTGCATAGCAGCACGCTGTGTTTTGTCTCACTGCTTTGTTCTCAATTCTCCAGCATCGTCTTAGGAATGTATTCAGATGTTATCCACTTAGCCCAGCTCCTTGGAGTAAAGGTGAGAGTGCACACATGATACCAACCTACCGAGAAAACATCTGTCCAGCACTTCAAGAAATCATCACCAAAGCACAGCTACAGTTTGTAGTACAGACATCAGCTTTTCTCCATAAACATTCACGTCTGCCCAACTGCTGCTCAACACTCAGCCTTCAGGAGGCACCTGTGGCAGTGCCGGATCACAGCACTGCTGAATAATGAGTGGCATGCAGAAAGGTCTGACTTTTCACCTTCCAAATCCACAAACGTTCACTTAGAAGTTCTCTGACAGCACAACCCTTCGTCAGCTACGCCCTTATGTTGTTTTGAAAGATTACGCCTAGTTATCACAAAAAATAAAGAGAGGAAGCAGCAGTACTTATTCCACCTGGTGACTCCGGATAAAAGAGCAGATTTTACCATACGTGCCTTCCAGCAGAGAATGTACTGATGAATAGAAGTAAGTTTTATACAAACTAAACCTTTACAAGAAACTCCCAAATCTACAGTCATTCAGAGTGAAATAATTGGCACCTTGGTTTTCTGTAATGTGGAAAAAACAACTAATCTTTTATCCTTTCACCACACACCAAAGTGCTTCTTATCACTAAGAATAAGAGAAACCCGCTGCTGACAGTGAGATAAAGGTTTTCCTTCTCTCCCCTTCTTCTCCTTTTACAGAGAGACAAGGACAACACGAGCACTACCATAACAATTAGCTTCAGCCAAATTCTCCTTTGAATTTTTGCTTCAAGCTATCTTTGAATCTTCCTTACACCAACAAATCCATGCAAGCTTTCCTTGAGATGCTTCAGTCGAATGCCTCAAACCATCTCCAGGTCACGGATGTGACAGCAAAGCTTAGAAAACCTGTTTATTTCACTGCTCGTAAGTTCATCCTTCTCTTCAGACTCTGCAAGGCATACATGCAGATCCACTCTCACCACAGGGCACAGCAGCAATCTCAGTTATTTTCTTCTCCAGTTCTCAGAAGCCACTTATGTTTTCAGATCCCTTGTGAGTTTTTATCATGGAACCATCCTTGCTTCCATTTCTGCTCTCAGCTGACTTCACCATATCAGTTTGTATTCATAAGCCTCAAAACACAGCACAAACAGTACAGGAGAGTGTTGCAAGCAGTTGACATCTATGCATATATTTACTTCAATTAGGGCAGAAGTTTCATTTTATAGAACAAGCCTTTATCAAGTTTGTCCCTTTTCTTTAAGGACATTGCTAACAATCTCTCCCACGTTACTCTCACTGGATCAGAGGTTGGATATAAAGCACCAACCAGGACGTGAACTTCACTTCAGACCCTGACTGGTTTGGCAAGCCAAATCACACTGATGTGACAAGTGTGCTAACGTGGGAATGCTGTATCTATCCAATCCTATGCAGCAAGGCCACCAAAGAGAATGAATCTCATGACTAAGAGATTATCATCCAGTTCTTCAGGATTCCAATCCCTTCCAATTGCTGTTTCACAGCTGAGATGCTTGCAAGGAAAAGGTCTAAGAAGAGCAGCTCTGCTGTTAAATTCCCAGCTTCCGACCTCTACCTAAGGTCATAAAAACCTTGGAAAACTGATTTTGTGTTGCTATCTTTACCATTAACTAGGTTTGAGTCCTTAAAGCATCAGGTCCCCCGTCCTGTAGCAATCAATTGCACCTTAAGGAAGAATGGGGTTGTCGTGCTTTTTTCTTTGCTGCTGTTGTTTTAAATCAAGACATCCCCCGGTCAGTAGATTACTATTATTTAAAAAAAACAACCAACAGCAACAATTGCTTCCCTCTCTCACTGACTCGTTTCTGGGCAGCTGATCAACCGAGAAAGCAGTGCTTGGGGAACAGATGCTGCAGAGACAGAGGTCAGCACTTGGCACCGGAGGCTTTGCCGCGTACTCCATTATTTGCTTGCCACTTCACAGCTTCCTCTGATGTCTGTGACAACAACAATCCCGGAGGTTTTCGTAGGCACAAACGCTGGCAAGCTTCTGTTTGCTGCACAGAAATGTTTGTGAATACATTCATTTCCTAAAAGGCATTTTTTTAATGCCTTAAAATGCCAAGTGACAGTATTACCAAACAGATTGCAGAGTTTCTAACAGCATCACAGTTTGAGGAGACACTAAGAATTAACTTATGCTGCTCTCGTGACAGTACTGCAAGACTTGCATCATATCCAGATGCTTTCTCCTCCTACACAACATCCCAGCACCTCAAAGAATAGGTAATATTAAGTGTCAACCTTCTGAAGACTTGCAGTGCCATTGAAAAACACTTAATAGCTAGTATCAATACCATTAATTGTATCAGCACAATATCTTCTCCGAGTTGCTTCAACTTCAAAGAGGGGAAAGACCTCCCAGGATTAATTTCTTCTTTCCTTTTTGTATTCAGAACATGGAAATTACTTATGGGAAAAGCTGCACAGAGTCTGAAAGATATCAAGAGCTCAAGATTACCAGTTAGCGTGTGATGGCAACAAAACAGCACCATAGGAGTCAAGAAAATCTTGGCTATGAAGGGAAATCAGAGTGATTACAGGTGTTTGGATCCAAACAGTGGATTCTGAAGATGCCAGGTTTTCTTACGGCTCCAAAAATCAGCCAGGCCAAATCAGACACTTATAGGAGGAACAGATCTGACATGCGCAAATCCTTTTTCAAGTTAGTTTTGGGTCATGTATGGGATGAAGTCTTTCTTTCGGGATGCTTTTCACCCCAACAGTCCCTGGAAAGCAGACGTGTTAGCTGAGGACCATGTGCGTGCACTGGTGTCCTTGTGACCGACTCTGCTTCCTTCCTTAGGGCTGCATGAAGCATCACCTCTGACTGTCTGCTCAGAAGGCACAGGAAAAGGATGACCAGAAGTGCCCATGCAGGCCCCTCTGCCAATATGGGAGTTTGAAGACACTTGTAACGTTACGACTGCTCTGCAGTAGTGCTAACATTACTAGCAGTACTAACTCAGTAACAGTGAAGACAATCACTGAGATGACCTAACAGGAAAATGCACAGCTGCAGTGCCCAAAGAGTTCCCCTCTATGGGAAACACACTGCTTTAAAAGAAGTCCTTGGTAAAACAAGGATGAGATCTCTCCTCGATGAGATCTCTTTCCTCTCTTTAGCCTGCCTGCAAAGCACAGTGAAATGCATCCTGTCAGCTTGCAGAAGCAGTGTGACACAAATTACCTCTCGCAATGCAGCACAGATCTATCTGAACAATTCCTCTTGCACAACCAGCAACTGATTAGAAATGAAAACCTTTTCCTGTTCTCCTATTCAGATGCTTCTAAAATTACCCATCTCTCCAACAGCTTAAGTAGTTTTAATTACAGATATAATGGAAGAACCCTTATAATATGTTATTGCCTTACAGATAATCACCACAAACATTTCCAGTACCACATACAGCAGCTCAGTGATGCAGAAGTGCCTGATCAACCAGCTGCGTGCTCTGGGCACAAGCAAGAGGCAGCACTTCACAGCAGAGCTAACCCCAAAGCATCCTTCCCACATGTTAGGCTCTTGAATCTCTGCCCTGAGGGACTGCACAGCCTAGGTGGCACAAGCCAGTGCCTTATGCTCACAGATCCACTATTACCTCAAGTGCTTTGCTTCCCTGACACAACAGCACGCATCAGTTTCAGTTCACAACACAAAGCTTACCAAGTTTTTCCTCTTCAGTTACAATTTTAGCAATTTAACATAATTTAATTAACATCCTGTGCTCTCGTTACTGTGAAGCAAGTCCTTTCCTGCAAGAGTTGTTCAAATGAATGCCTTAAAGATAATAATAGAAGAAATTTAAATGAGTATATATTTTGTATTTCTCCATGTATTCAGCAATGCCACAGTGGTTAAACTGCTTTATTGATGATGACTAAAAAGTCAGATGGACGAGAATATGGGAGGGTTCCCCTTCTGCCATGAATGCCACGTTCCTCCAGGTACTTTTGATGGCACAGTTCATTCACATTAAAAGGAGAACGCAATTACTTAGTGACCACCTTACTTATAGTATGTTCATAGTGTGTATAAAACTGTCACCATGGAAAGTTTTCTGGTGAGGTTACGTGGGGAACTTATAAAAAAAAAGCAACTGCAAACATGAGATGCGCTAAAAGAACCTACCTAGAAGGACACACAGGATCCAGGGTTTGGTTATATAATAAAATAAAAGGAATAGAACACTAAACTGCAATAGAGTTTGAGATTTCCGAAGAAAAATACTTTATTCTTACCAAAAACTCCCAGGAAAACAGTGAAGGAGAGAAAAAGCTGTGAACAGAGATCAAAACCCATTCCCTGAAGCTGTGCAGGACCTGAGATGGCCACCACTTAACTCAGATAGCTGGATAGCTAAAATACTGCTAAGTGTTGTTCATCTCTTGACCAGTGACAATGGAAAATTGAGCTGATTCAGAAATAACTACCGTCCTCCACAAGCAATAACTTAAAAAATATAGTGCATGCCCCCTTGATTATAAGCACCAGGAATATTAGAGAACTTATGAAGGCATGTTCTGGAATGGCAGCCCAGTCTCCCCACTCCCAGAGGCAGATCTTTTCTACCCCACTGGAGCTCTTCAAGCTCAGACTGAGAATTCAGGCCATCCCACTCCAGACAGCTGCTCCTCCTGTGTGTGTATATACATACTGCACAAAAACAGGGCTGCGACAGCAGCCGCTGCGCATATATGATGCTGAATTTCATCTTGGTGCATTTGAACCCAAGTCAAAGGTCTTCTCGGACCTCTGCTATCCTCTCCTACTCATTCTTCAGCCTCTCTGAAAGAAGACTTCTCAAATAATAACATCAAATGTCAGAAAACAAAAAAGATGTAAGAAAAAAAGTTATGAACGCAAGCAAAATAAAACATGTTCAAACTAAAAGTGAGGCTTCCTTCCTGCTGCAGCTCATACCTCCGCATGCAATTATTGCAATTTAAATGCTCAAATGAATCTAATTTCCCTATACATCATCAGAACACAGAAGACCAAGAGTAATTCATGAGAACCAGACATACGCCCCACCTGTTTTCCATTTTTGGAGTTTGCTTTTTCCTACAGACTGCTGAACTCTGAAAACAATGTCTACAGTTATTTTTATTGTAATTGTACCTCCTCCTCTCTTGCCAGTCTGTAATTTTAGTAGAGTAAAACAAAGCAATGATGTTTCTCATGTTCAAAAGAGCAAGTTCCTTGGAGCTTTCTGTTTGTCTATAATAAGAAACTGTGATCATGGGGACATCCTCTGGAAAGCTGCTTGCTTAATAACCATTGAAATAAAGTGTTTTTTTTTATAGATAGCTAAGCAGTTTGGGAGACAACCAGCAGAATTAGTGGAGTGCACCAAAGGCCACTTGCCACCATCTCTGCACTTTCCACGTCCTCCACTGCACCCTCTAAAAAGGAGTGGAGCACTACAGTCCAACAGCAGAAATATAAGCACAAGCTGAAGGCCCCACAAAAATAAAAAGCAAAGACTTCTCCTTTCTGTTCAGTTGTATAACTCCCTCTTCTAGACACTATTTTTTTGGTGAGAATAATCAAGCTCGGGTCTCAAAAATAATTACCAAGGGAGAACAGATGAGAGTGGAACCTCAGCCAAATAAGTCTGACTCCTCATTTGCATTTCCAAGCATCCTCTGCCAGAGCATTTTTTTTCTTTAAGGAATAACATCGGTTTCAGATGCTGCACTACCAAAATGTAACCAGACTGTTCTGTATTTTGATGGCATTTCAGCAAGAGAGAGAAGCCCCTCTCTTAGACTCAATGCCAACTTCCCTCTGTCCCAATACACAGAAAGGAAATGTAACCACCTTTAGACCAATAATAAGATACTTACCACCATATTGTAGGCATCAGGAACTTCAATTTCAAACTGAAATTTTCCACCTTGGTAATAGCCCTCATCTAGCAAAGAAAAAGAACCACAAATATTAAAACAGTTCACTTAGAGAAAATAACCAATGCTGTGTTATACAAATCATGTCATTAACGAGATTCAAATAACAGCCTCAGGTCATCACCAAAAACCCAAACGCCAAAGCACTAGCTGCTTCCAACTCCAAAAAGAAAGCTGGTTACACACCTTGCTGCTAATGCATGCTAAATCCTTCTTAACCACAGCACCCTCAGACTTGCACCAGCAATTACTGTCACAGTAGGAATAATGGTGTGCCAAGAGCACGTGCACCACAATAAAAAAGCAAGTCAGGTCTTTTGACTGACAATTATCTCCCAGAGGGTGATGCACCAATTAGGAAAATCCGCCTGCTTCTCCGTCAACCTGAGATCCAACACTGAATTATGAAAAGTGCTAAATTGTAAAATATGAATTCTGAACATACCCAGTTGCATGTAACCAGAGACAATAGGCAACAGGCTGTCATTCCTGAGATGGCTGTGCTTGGATGCTGAAATGCTTGCAAGCAATCTGATACGTGTCTGTCTGGCATTGCAACTACAGAGTTTTGTCATTATTCTTGCTCTCTGCATCACATCGTGCAGCCACAGCAAAGAACTGATAGTCAGGAGAGGTTGGTTATCCTCACACAACTGTTTAATATGCAATTTTTAAAAACAACATCGCAAAGGAAAGCTTGGCAAAGCAATCCGTGGTTTAGAGAACGATTAAAAAGACACATTTCTTATTATCTTATTATCTAACTTCCAAAACGCTTCTAGCTCTCCTATTATACATCACCAAAATCCCACTAGGATGAAGTGGTGCCTTCTGGACCTATTCCCTTCCCACATCTAGTGCTACCAGAGCATGGAAACAGAGCATGGCTGATCTTTCCCATCCCATACAGGTTTATGGCTGCCTCCATGCTGGAACTGCTGGCTTCCAGCACCCAGCCCACCCAAACCTTTCATCATCCCACAGACATCTGCACAGAACTGCCAGCCTCACCCAGTGCAAAGCTCACTTTAATAACCTACTGAGAGTACACATTTTTCAAATACATCCTTCACTTCCAGTTCAATTTTGACATGCACTTAATTTATTAAGCAGACCTCTCAGGCATGCTGCTGTGCTTTATCAGCACAGAGCTGCACATGCATTGGTTTTGATGGGAAAAAAATACACAAGTCAAAGCATTTTTATTTTGCATTCAAACATACTGGAGATAAAGCAAAACATCTCTGAAGAATCAAGTATATAAAGGTGAGTAACACCAAATATCCTTTTGATGAAACTGCTGCCTATCAGATTTGCCACACGCTCAAAGTAAGATGTTGTTTTAAGAAAGATCCATTATAGCAATGGTTCAATGCTCCACCTGGAACTCAAACAGCACAGTCACCACCGAGCAACCCTACAGGATGCAACTGACTGCACTTCATTCACCACTCAGCACACGTGAAATCTATTTAACCAAGTTGCAGGAATCCTCACTGTTCCCAAGCATGATGCCACACCTTGTAAAAACCACAGCTGGAAGAAATAAATGCACAGGTCTTCCACTGAGCAGGGCAAAACAAACAATACCAATCTCTTCAGTGCCTTCTACAGTACTAACCATGCAGATCAGTCCTCCATCAGTGTTCCTTGGTTCACAAGCACTTAAGCTATCACTTCTCAACATCACTTTATTGATCTGGACAAGGGGATTGATGCATTCTCAGTACATCTGCAATGACACCAACTCATGTGAAAGTGCTGATCAGTCTGAGGGTAGAAGGTCCTGCAGAGGGATCTGGATAGGCTGAGGCCAATGGGATGAGGTTCAACAAGATCAAACGCCAGGCTTTGGTCACAACAACCCCATGCAATGCTATAGGCTTGGCACAGAGTGGCTGGAAAGCTGCACAGAGGAAAATAACCTGGGGGTGATGATCTGTATGACCTTAGAGCTCTTTTCCAGCCTTAACCGTTCTAGGCTTCCATGGGAAGCTATCACATGCAATGTGATGTCTGCACAGGGAGAAATAAGGCTGCTGCAAGGCAAAGGAGAAACAGCACCCCTGTGAAGGCTGCTCAGGAAGCCCAGCAGCAGAAAGTCATTTTTCATTGGCTTAATTTCAATAGTCCCTGGATTCCGTGGCCTTGGAGTGTAGCACACAGCAGCCCTTCATGTTCTACCCCTGCTAATGCAAAATAGGTATGTCTACATGTGTCTTGCGTCAAAGAAAACCCTCAGATTTAATCAATCTTCACTGTAATCCAATTGTTCAAAAACAAAAATACTCAAAAACAGCTCCAGGGAAGGACAGCTTGCCAGAAGGTTGTCAGTGTGCTGCCAGCTGAACAGTAAGAGAAAAGCCACGCTCTGCATCTCTGCACACTGAAAACACCAGGCACAGATGCCATCTGCAGGAACATACAGGTTGGTACTCATCTAAAAGCACGGGTAGCAAGACAGCTGATGACATTGCTCAAGAAAATGCACAGGGAAGGGGGGGGAAAAAGAAACAAAAAATGGTGAAGAGTTGTTCTTCACTTTCTCCACCTCTTTACCATCAGGCAGACACAGTTCAGGGCAGCTCCACACCCACCCAGCCCAGGCAGGGACTCCCAGCAACAACATGGAAATCAGTCAAAGCTGCATGAAATCATCATGGCAAAAAGACTGCAGTGTGTCCCATGGGATTAGTGAGACAAATTGGTGTACAAATGGTTGAGATGAGAACTGGAATTAGTGCAAGAGGTACAGCAGGACCAGACGATGGAAGAACACTCCCTTTCCTTAGCAAAAAACTTGTTTTAGATTAGCTCAAACGCTTTTTAACCACATATTAGCAGTTCCACAAGCCACAAGAAATTCCTATTGTATTACATTTGTTTTCTTTATTTTTCTGTGTTCTACACAAGGCTGAGAAATCTCTGCAAGACCTACAGCACTCCAGACGTGGCACTTTACAGTGCAGGTTAGAGGGCCCATGAGAACTGATTGGCATTCAAACACCACTTCTACAAAGCTCAAGATCAGTATATATATATCTTACCTAGGGGTAAGAAATCAGGCAAAAGTGGCAGGAGACCTGTATGGATGAGCACAGGACTCGTGGAAGACCTCAAATGGATGAAATCCTGTCAAATGCATGCAGGAAAGGTGTGTGCCCACTTGAGAGAGACACAGTAATGCTGCCAGAGGGGATGAAATGAGGAAGGCTAAGGCTGAGGCCCACTGGAAAGGGAGATCAAGAACAACAAGAAACACTTCTTCAAATATGTCAATAGCAAAAGGAAAGCTGGAGAAAAATGTCGGTCTGTTGGTGAATGAGGTGGGTGACTGGTAATGGAGGACACTGAGAAGGCAGAGTTGCTGAATGCTTTCTTTGCTTCAGACTTTCCTAAGACTGACCCTCAGGAATCCCAGCAAGGGTTTTGACACTGTCTCCCGTAACATTCTCATAGGTAGGCTTCAGAACTGTGGGACAGACAAGCTGACGGTGAGGTGGATTGAGAACTGGTTGATTGGCAGAGCACAGAAGGCTGCAGACAACGGTGCAGTCTAGTTGAGGGCTGTAACTAGCAGCAGAGCACTGGAACAAGCTGCCCGAGGGGGCTGTGGAGTTCCTTTCTCTGGAAATATTCAAAACCCACCTGGATGCTTTCCTACTGTAATCTACTATAGGGAACCTGCTTTAGCAGAGGGTTGAATTAGATGACAACCCAAGGTCCCTTCCAACACCTACAATTGTATTCTCTTCCCTGCCCTCATACAGACTCAAAAACCCTCTAATTTTCAGCCATGTAACAGTGCTGGAAAGAACTGAAGTTCTGGCAAAGCTAATAGTAAGCAAAGCAGTGTAAATGAAAGAGGTAATTAAAATAGTTTTAGCTCATAACTTGTCCATTTACAGGAGATTTTTCCAAGAAGTGAATATGTCTGAGCTCCAGTTTGTGTCTCCTGCTTAAATTTACGTCTTCAAGCTACATTAACATTCCTCCTACTGCAGTCTCAAGTTTCTTTACTAACAACCTAATACTAATCTGTGATGTGTACTCATGGTTAAATGCACAGCAAAGATACAGAATTATTTTACATTTAAAAGAAAATGTAAGATAATTTGGACAGGCCACAAAGGATGTGAATTTGATAGCAGCTCCTTGAATCGTAAGCATTGAAAAGCTCGGCCATGCTCACTGACATTTGTCATTTTATGGTATGCAAAGCAGAAAACAGGCATTTTATTAATTCCCTGAAGAATGTGACTCAAATAATCACGCTAACCCTAACCTACACAACTGCATGGGAAACAAATTAATTAACTCTATGCATTCCTCTAGTCTTCGTCATGTACACGCCACCTAAACTCACCTCTCCCCTCTGCCCAGGTCATTACTGTGTTTCACTTTCAGCTTCAAATTCCGTGCTTCAAATACCAGCGCAGAGGCAGGCCTCCATGTTGCAAATATCCATCTCCTTATTTTCCCTAGCATTTGATCCAATAAGGTACAGATACCAAAATAGGAACAGAGGCAAGTGGTGCCACGAGCACATTTTTCAGTGACAGAAAAAATTGGTTGATATGACACAAGGAAAAAGCAGCTCCAGCAGCAGCATCTGTCTCAGGGGCAAGCAGTTTATCCATCGTGGCTGAAAGACCTGTTTTACTCTTTTTCCAATGCATGCTGCTATACATTCTCTCACCGAGCACTGCCAGACCATAAAGGAACCAGAACTTCTTAAGCACAAGCCAAAATAACAATTTTTATACGATGAGGATTTCTAGAAGTAATTTGGATGTGCAGTGCTAGAAACAATTCCAGGCAGGGTGAGGAAGAACAGCCCTTCTCTCCCTGTTCACATTCATGCAATGCTGTCTCAGCACTACAAAAAATGGTTGTCTCCCATCTAGAATTTTACCCATTTGAGCCAGAAGCATTCTGAGACAATAATTTTGCTGCCTCTCTGTCACCTCAGAGAAAACTGAGATTTAGCATATTCCAAAGGTGATCAGAAAACTGCAGTGGTTCCTTGGTATGTGCTGTGTTCTGCTCTGAGAGAGCTGTGCCAAGCTGCCGCTGATCACAAGATTCTGTACCTGAATTATGCACAGCTGAAAATAGATGTTTACTTTGGGCAGGCTACAACTGCAGCCACTTCAGCTGTGCAGCTATATCTGGAGCAAGAAAATGTTCATTAAGATCATCTCATTCCCGAGACCGTTTAACGAAGCCAGCACAAAAACCATGCACTGCACTCAGCAATTGTCTTCCAAACTGCAACAGCTTGCACAGCAGTTAACAGACCAAACAACCTTATGTCTTTAGATGCCTTAAAATTAGTACAAAGAAGCTATCCATCGCTTTTGCATCGAAGGCATTCCTGACTTGCACTGTGATGATCCTGTGAAATCATCTCATTTCCAAAACTTAATAAGCAAGTATCATTTAAACTGAAGGACAACGAGCTGTTACAAACAGGCGACACTCACTAATTAAATGCAAATACATCTCCTGCACAGAACGAGACGTTAGAAAGTTCAGTAATAGCACTTATATATATATTTTTTTGTTTTTCTTAGCATACTGACAAGGAAAATCGAACTCGTTTTCCCGTACCCAAAAGGAATCACACGAATGAACTCGTTAGCAAAGATTCCTACTGCCAAGGAAGCGCCGGTCGGTTCGGGCCAGAGAAAAAGCAACACCGACATCTAGCGGCCATTTCCTATCAAAACACTGCCAAAAATGTTCCTCTAACCTTACAAACTGTAAAGCATTATTTGCACAGGTAAGACGTCTCCAAAACTGACACACACAGCATGCAAATCCCCGTCCATAAATATCCACAGGAAATCTACACCAATAAGAATTTGCTGGCTCGGCTGCAACGCCTCTTAACCCAAACGTTTCAGTGCACTGCACACACCAGTGTCCTCATTTGAACTGCTGCACGCTCCCAAAGATGATTTGCAGTAAAAGCGTTCCTGCCATTTCAATAGATGATCTTCCATGCAAGTCCATCCACAACAGACACTGTTTTCTAATCCAAAACATGAGCAAACTCCATAATTTATGATTACTATGAAGAATCTCACATGGAAAAGATGAATGCACAAATTAATTTCGAGGCAGTTTTTACTGACCAACAGGCCAGCAGTGTACTTCAGTCACATTAAAAGATTTAGCTTCCACATACTTGAATTTTTGAAGACATTTTTAAAGACCAAGAGACTCCCACTTTTTAAGCATCTTCAGATATGCACAGATTTGAAGTTTTCCAGCAGTGTTACATCACCTGCCCTTTAAATACCACAGAATCAAGCAATCTGTATGTATAAATAGGAATAACTCTGGAGTTCAACAGAGCTGTCATACAATCATTTCTCTAGACATGGTCCACACTTTGTTTTTGAGGTTTTTTTTGCCAATATATAACTTGAAATAGGCTCAATAAAATGTCTTCCTTCAAAATGAGCCAACAAGACTTGAATACTTGCTGAACTTGCTATATTTTGATAGCAATCTTACTGCAACGTAGTTCTCAAAATCCAGCCCAATTTCCTCACGGCCCCTATGAAACCATCACTGCATTACAGCTGTCATTGACTAGAAAGTTTACCATGTTCTATAGACCTTGAATTGTGTTTCCACCACAGCAACACATACAGAAGCAAAAGCTATAGGTTTAGAAAATTACCTGGGATTACCGTTAGCTGAAAGTAATGAAGCTTGTTTGGGTCAGGAAAATTCACTTTACATGTACCTGTTAAGCAAAAGAACAATTTGCATCAGATAACTGTTTGTCCACTGTTGAAAAAACATATATCATCTTTCACATCTCCTGAATCAGCACCCTTATTAATCCCTGTGTTCCAGTTCACTGATTTCCCATACTTTCTAAGTGTCTTTTCTCCATACAGTTGTAGGTTACCTGCAATAACTCCATTTCTTTGAGCTGGGAGGGAGAAGTTGATTTCCTTTCAGTAAACCATGTTGTCTCATACTCTAAAATGACACAGGAATAGATCTTCTATATGGACACTAAGCTGAGAAGACAGCATGCAGAATCAGCATCCTTTCCTCAGAGATTCCCTAACAGGAACACATACACCTTTAACACTTGATCACACACAGCACTTTCCAGGAAGTCTTGCCACCACAGCTCTATGCTAGAATGGATTTATACCTGCAAGATGCAATTAGAAGCGTGCTTTACTGACAGCCTCACCCAAAAGAGAAGTGAAGCTGCTGTTCAGCTGTCACACTGAACAAAGCTGTTTCTCAGCCTAGCTGAGTGCCACAACCAGCCTATTTTATTCCATCCAAGAGCAAGTTTCAAACCCATAACAGGCTGCCAGAGCCTTGCCCTAGCCCTTCAAAAATGAACTCATGAAAAGTAAGTTACTTTTTCAGGCTTTTGCACAGAAGAAGGGGAGAGGGAAGAATCTACATTTCCTTAGTGCTCTTTACAGTGAACTGCATTACAGAAATTTTATGTTAAAAAGCCAACTAAAAAATTAACACTGTATTGGCAACGTGCACTTTTTAAACTCGTGAGGCAAGTATTTCTCCCTACCCAAGGCTTCACAATCAGGAATTGCTTCAATGTGGGGCACTGACCACTCCAGACAGTGCAATTGCAATTGAAGCTGCTACACCATTCATAAATCAACAGACTAGAAATCAAACAGATACTGCAGCCATATGCAACAATAAAGACTGCCTCAGAATGCCTACGTACAACTGCTACACATCTCTGTCCTGTTTAACTTTCAAGTCAGTGATTACACCTACTAAGAGTGAAGCAGCATCAAAAAGCAAAGGTGATGATTTTATTCTCAAACTAGATGAAATTAAGGACAACAGTGACAATGAAGAACAAGAGCAAAGAGAAGAGGAAACATCCATCTGTGAAGTTGTGCAGGGGCTGTTATGAAAGTAGTCAGCAGCAGTTCAACAGATGCAAATTCACAGCATAACAGCCCTTTGTTTGCCTCTGATGACACAAACTGAGCTGCCTTCTCATGTACAAAGCTGGTCTTTTTTGATTATGGCACAGAAAAGCTATCAAGCTGGCACTAGAAGCTGTGTACAACCATGCATACATTATTATCCATATAATGCAGCCTTTAGCTTCTGAATCCATCCAAGCTGGCTGTACTTTTCTCCCTTAACTAAGATCCCATTTGCCTATAAAAATACCTACAGCTGCACACACACTCCAGTAATGCATTCACACTGTAAAAGCCACAAACCCTGATATAAATTTCTCAACATTATCCTATTTTAATCCATTTCTCATTCATTATCTTATAGAAGAGACTAAGCAAAAAGTTGAACCAAAAACTACTGTGAAAAAATCTCTATAATTGTCTTTTAGAAAGAGAAGCATACAGAAAGAGATAATGCTTCACATTATCCCTTTTAGCTCTTCTGTTCTGTGTTTTTTCCCCTCAATTCCTTCCATCAGGCAGCCTGCATGCTGAGAAGCCTGATTTTTGAGATCTGATAGCTGATCTGGATTTACAGGCATTAGCAAACACAAGAGGCTCAGTAGAAGTAGCAGAGGTCTAACCTAGAGGGAAAAAAATGGCCAAACTTCCCTCAAATGGAGAAGACCAGGCACATTACGGGTTATCTGCCAGCATAATCAAAGAATATTCACCACTTCTCTCTGAAAGATAAGAGCAAGGCACGTTCACCCTTATGTGAATGCACGGCAGCAGCCTGCATGCATGCTCTCAGACTGCAGCAAGCAGCTCACATCTCTTTCCCTGCAGGCAAAGTGTCTTAGATTACTCTGAAATATGAGCATGGATGGCAGGAAGTTAGGTAGAGCAAGTGACAGGTTCTGGAGCTGCCCCCGAGCAGACTGTGTGGTAACTTTGAAGCAGAGATGGCAGGGTGCTGCTGTTCTGGTCAAAATCTGAGAGGAAAGAGAGCTCAGCTTTGCCACCAACACTCACCCTCAGCAACAACCACAGAACTGCAGGAGCCCTTTATAGAAGGACTTTGTGTTTTGTTATCTGTTACAGAACTCTCTGAAGCTAAGGATCAGAAAACATGTATTTGACAGCAATAAGCCATTTACCCTGTGCTCTTCAAACTCTATCTTAAAGCATCCATGAACCATTCTGGCATAAGATGTGACGATACTGAGCTGGGTGGATACTGGCTGACACACCAGAAGGCTGTGCTGCCTTCAACAAGACCTGAACAGACTGGAGAGCTGGGCAGAGAGGAACCTGATGAGGTTCAGCAACAGCAAGTGTAGAGTCTTACAGCTGAGGAGGAATAAATGCACGCATTGGTACAGGTTAGGGGCTGACCTGCTGGAGAAGAGCTCTGCAGAGAAGGCCCTGGGAGTCCAGGTTGGTCACCTGTGCGCTCTTGTGGCCAAGATGGCCAACGCTGCCCCATGCTGCATTAAAAACAATGTGGCCAGCAGGCTGAGGGAGATTCTCCTTTCCCTTAACTCTGCTCTCGTGAGGCCACATCTGGAGCATTAGGCACAGTTCTGGGCTCTCCAGTTCAAAACTGACAGGGTCTCCTAGAAAGGGCCCAGTGGAGGGAGATAAAGATGATTAAGGACCTGGAGCAATCTCCTGTAAGAGGGGAGGTTGAGCAACCTGGGACTGATCAGTCTGGACAAGACTGAGAGGGGATCTCATTGCTGCTTACAAACATCTAAAGTGCAGGAATCAAGTTGATGGGGGCAGACTCTTTTTGGTGGCAAGCAGCAGCAGAACAAGAGGCAATGGGCAGAAACTGGAACAGAGGAAGTTCCATACAAACGTAAGGAAGAACTTTTTTTTACTGTCAGACAAGCACAGCACTAGAACAGGCTGCCCAGCTTGTGGATTCTCCTCCTGCTTGAGGGAAACTGCTTTTGCAAGGGGGGGAGGAAGGGAGAGGGTTACAACTAGGGATCTCAAGATGTCTCTTCAAACCCCTATAATGCTGAGATAACATACAATGCAGGTAAGATTCCAGGGCTAAAAGCACTTCATCTTGCCTTTTTTGTTTGTTTAAGGAATATATATATATTTTTTAACTAGTATTCTTATTTTTGTTAATACATCTACTGCTTAAGAAGCACACTAGGCTACAGCTTGCATGTGAAATGTGAAATGAAAAAGCACCAGGTTAATGTGGTTCCTGAGACCTGAGCCATTTGCTCTGCTACTAAATGAGCATTTCCTGGTTTGGAATTAAGGTGAGACCAGAGGAGAAACAGGAGCAAGGTAAGAAGTGTGCTCTTCAGCTCCAGAGTGTTCTGTGAGAAGGAACTTCCCACTCTACCAGCAACCAAGTTGTGTCATGTCACTGAATGACCAATGCTGCTTCCAAAGGGCACTAGCAAGGATCTACATCTCTGCAACACCTTAAGAGAGGGCAGAGCAAGCCTGCTCAAACCTAGGCCAGCAGAGCTTGGCACAGCTTGCCCCACAGTTAACACATCATTAGCATTCATACTTCGATCCAAATAATCACATCAACAGCCCTATTCCCCTTAAAATGTATGCCATTGAATGCTGTACTTACAAGGTAAATTAGCTTCAAGTTCCGCAACCTCTGTTGAAAGAAAAGAAACATACCATTACTTATGCAAGCAGAAAGCCATTCTCAATGTCCAAATTGGCAAATCTAATTTAAACCTTGCTGTAAATCAAATTTCACTTAAGATATAATTAAGTCTCACGGAAGATTTACATTGAAATTTCTCTTTAAGCCACACAATTCATTACTGAAAAGGCTCGTCTGCCCTGCAGACAACGCTTCCCTAGTGCAATGAGAGGGCTCAGCTCTGCCAAGAGAGAAGCACCAGAGACACAGAGCCCTACCACTGCAAAGAGTGGCACCATCCTAACCTCCAACCTCATAAGGCTCTAAAATACAGAGGGCCAAAACACAGGAGCAGACCAACCTCAAGAAGCAGCTGTACCTCAGTGGAGAAAACAAGCACAAGAGGTTCACAGTCTGCTGGAATTGCAGCACTCTACAGCACCTACCTGCTCGTGTCCTTTACCACCTTTGGCTACAGATATCCTCAGGTTACACATTGGTTTCTTTGGGGAAGCCTCCAAGCATGACACTACTGCCTGCACACTTGGGAACAGCTACAGAGGCTCTACTCAAGAGCACTGTCATACAAGACACCACCTTGCCTGCATAAACCAGCATTAAGAAAGTCAAAACCCAGAAACCTTCATTTGAAGCACTTGGCACAGCAATCAGGACAGAAACATCAGCTCCCATTGCACAGCTCCCCCCGTAACCTCAGCACTGTTGAATACTCTCAGAGCAGTCAGACTTTTTGCTTCAATGCCTGTTAGAAATTTCCCCTGGAGCATCGTTTGCTATGGATATGCACTCAATTGAAAAATAAATTCAAGTTTCTTTTTATTCACTTTTATGTCCCACGCAAAGAAATTCAAGGTCATTCATTGGGAAAAAAAGAAAGTAACACCATTCAGTTGTGTAGCACTTAGAAAAGCTTATTCCTAACTGCCTCTCTGTCACACTACCCTCTCTGGAAGGCCCACTGTTTTCTCCCTCTCTCCTGCACTACAATGAAGCCTTACTTTCAACTACTTGAATCTTTCACAAGAGTATGAATAAGATGCAGGAAGGCACCCCCTCCTCTTACAGTTCCAGGAAACCTAATTAAGTGTATATTTGCATTTCCTGTAGGCTTTTTTTCTCCACCTGATTTCTCACTTCACTTTCTCTTCTGCACAGAAACCAATGATTCATTTAGGCTAACAACATTAAGAGATCTGCACACCAGCTCTCAGAAATGTACGCCTAAAGAAGATTACAATTGAGCTTAAGATATAGGAAAAGAGTTTTTTACACAGAATTCAAACAGATCTCACAAAAGCTCACCAGCTCCACAGAGCTCTTCCTATATCCATGCTTACCAAACCTCTGCAGCAAGCACAATGCTTCATGTATTTCTTCAAGCACCCAGAAAGCAGGACAGAGGAATGATGAACATTTGGAGTAGTGCTTGCTACTGCTGATCCAGTGCTGTGCAAACCTCAGAGCTTTTCAAGCCCTTTCACAGCCAAGAAGGCTGACTGCCAACCAGAAGCAAGCCCAGGAGCAGCACAGAGCTCTGCACCATGCTGGTAGGGCATCCCAGGGAGGTCTGAAAGGCAGAGAGGTGCCAGAGCTTCTCTGGGGAACATGCATGGTGCAGGCAGCCCAGCCCCTAACCAGCTCATCAGCCAGTCTGATGTCCATGAAACATTCATCAATCAGGTGCAAGAGCACACCTACATCAAGTGTACTTGCAGCATTCTGTAAGCACTTGCCAGAAGCAATGCACTCAGCTGGACCTGAACTGGCTGTCATCTCTGACACAGACAAGTCGAAGCTTCAGCAGTGAAAGAATCTCACTGAAGAAAGAATCTCAACGAAGAATCTCACTGCACAGCATTACCTGCATACATCACTCCAACACCAGTGGAATGCTTTAGTTTAGTGGTTCCAGATGCTACAATGAAAGGGTGAAAAGGCAGGGACTGAACTTAAACCTACCACAGGCTTTGGACAAACTGAATGCAAAGTGGTGACGTCTCACAGCAACAGCTCTCAGAACTTTATGAAAGCTACACTACACACGAGTAACCAGAGCTATTTATAAATGATTTCACAAACAGTAATTCTCCCTAGTCATGACAATTCTCAGGACAGAAATAGGAACACACATTCCTGACAAGCATATAGGCATATGGCTTACGATAGACCCACGTGGATGTTATATTCAGTAACACAAACCATAATTGAGATGTTCTGCTCTCTCCCCTTCCCCCAGCTCAACAAGGCAGGACATAAGATGGTTTATTTACTACCCTCACCACTGTGTCAGGCCACGTGCTTCCCACTGCAACACAAGGGCACAGAATGAAAGGGGTATTTCCTCAACTGAAATGAACATTCTCACCCACAGCAATACATATTTCTCCCTGCTTTTGGCCCCAAAGCCTCTCTTCTGCTTCTGTCCCTGTTTAATGTTAAAAAAAAAAAAAAGTGAAGACATGAATGCAGCATTTTCAAAACAATGTCTCAGAATTTCAAGAGTGCTTAGAATGTCTTCTTTTATTTCTATTCTCCACCTTGCAATTTTCTCACCTACCACTATGACAAGTGATATTACAGTACCTAAAGGTTTGAAAAAAGCCACGATACAGATTCTCCTGATTTTTATTTACAGAGCACATTCACCTCATGTGATCAGTTTCTCACTCCCTTCCCTTCAGGATTGTACAAATGCACACTTGAAACATTTTCAACTAAATCTGGTTGTAAACTCAGACACATTGAAGATGACCGAGGAATAAACAACACTAACTCAATATCTTAGGACTTAAGTTATTACAACCTGACATTTGCAAGCAAGTAAACAGCACCAGTAAAATAAAACTGGATGATGTTTAGATGTGGTTGCTCGAACTGCTGCTTTTTTTGCAGTGCATTTGTGATCAATACACAAACACATGGCTACAACTGACATCCTGGCAGGACTGCTGTTTTTAATTCAATCTCGTAGTCATGCTCATTAGATAACACTAATCTTACATGACACTTTGGCTCACACATGGTTTCAGAAAGGATCTGCCATCGAGCTCAGCACTGCAAAGCTTTGAGCATCCTGCAGGAGCAAGCAAGTGGCCACTACTTAAACTTGATGAAGCAACCTCTTGGAGATGAATTTACAGTTCTTTTAGCACAAAAAAAAATTGTGTCCACACTGTCAATCTCAAGGAACAGCACATCCTGACACAGCAGTCACCACTTGGCCTCTTCCCAGCCCAAACCTTCTCACACACTGCAAGCAGCTACATTATAATCAATCATTAGGTAAATCATACCTACATTATCACTTCTTCCCTCTTTCAAGGCAGCACCAGTCAGGCTGTTGATCTACAGTCACCTTTCAGAAGATTGTAAGCACTGTCTACACTTACCAGTGGCTGTGGTCACAACCATCCAGCCCGCAGACAAAATGCCACTCATCTGTATTCCAGGCTGTGCACACAAAACATGGAGGACAGTGGTGTTATCACTGTGACAAAGGCATCCTTCAAGGAGATCCAATAAAGCTTTCCTGGACTGCACTCCCTGTCATCACAAGTAAGGCTGTCTTCACCCCCAGACAAAAACACAAAACAAAAACAGAAAACAAAACACCATAAAATAACACTGTCTGGGTGATGCCTGTAATCAAATTGGCCAAGACATTTGCCTGCAGAATCTGTCAGACCATTGCCAGCTTTCCATGGGTTGGGAATAGGACAGCATCACTCCAGCACACCATCATCCCTGAGCAGGCAAACTGCTTCCACACCTTGGTTTATACACCATCACCAGCTTCCAGGGCTAGGTGGGATTTAGGATACGGTGCCAAAATCATCCTCAGCTAACCTTCCAATACAGCCCATCATATGTATTTACTGCCCCTAAGGCCAATGCACAGACCAGCTGTCTGCTGTTCTGCTGTCTCACAAGTTAATGCCCAATTTGAGGCCAAAAAGGATACAGATATGTTATGGAAACCAACACTATTAAGAGGTACAACTGAACCTATTCATATCTCAGCACAACTGCTGGGCCTTTTCCTGTCTCCCCCTCCACCAGAATTTATTTTCCTTTATGTGAAAGACTACTTTTCAACCCACAGTTGCCAGGAGATCAAGTTCAGCCTTTCAGCTGTACTGCAATCTCTGTGTTTGATGCCTCCAGCCTATAAAGAACATCAGTAACAACTTCTCCTTACCACTGCTCTTACAGACTCCCCTCAGCTCGGCCTCCAATCCTGCACAGCCCCGTACAGTTGCACACCCAAAGGGCTGTTTCAGTTCCATACAATAAAGCAGCAAAAGGCACCTACACTGGTCTAGATGCAAGCACCCACCACGCACACACACTCTCAGCAGGCAGTCCCTTGCTTCCAAACTCCTCCTGCAGACCTAGGCAACGTGTCCTGAAAATACCAGCACCATCACAACATACCACTCAGGCTTCCAACACTGCAGATGCTGCTTTGGCTGACAGACCTTTAGTGGCTGGAGTGAGTTTTAGCAATTTTTGTACTCATCTCAGTACTCACCCAGCTTAAAGCGAACCATAAAAGATGATATTCCCACAAAGGCTTTGCTAGTCTAGCTACCAGATATTCCACTCACTCCCAGCACAGTTATACTGAACTCATCTAATTCTGCCACCAGTTCTCATTTCCATCCAGCAACCATTCAAAGCAGACTGACAGCTGCTCCTACAGCTCTTTTGGAGGGCCATGTGATACACACAATCAGACCATGATGTAACACTCACGCTCGTCACTGGATGCTGCCAGTGACCTGCTCTTAATATCTGTCAGTTTGGCCCTCAGCTCATTCAATACTTAGCCTGTGCTGGTTTTATAATGGTAATAGCAATTACAGTTTCAGTAACGATTTCCTATAGCTTACACTCCTTGCTTTCCCTGCAAAAGAAGAAAGATGCACAGGGTTTTAGTCATAAAAGTGAAAAATGCAAATGCTCTAAAGGTACAGTAGAATTTTTTATGTCACTTCAACTACAATTTCTGGTGTAACATGAAGTGCATTCATATTATACTGCTTTTTTTCTCTGAGGTCTGCACTTGTAAGCTAATGAGAATCTCAGAAGATATACATTTAGCATTTTAGTTTTGTAGTTTATTCTGGCTGAAGAGCCTGTTTCATTAGTCTGATGCCTTTCTCCCTTCAGAATTGAAGCCAAGTGCAGACTTCCAAATTAGAAGTCACAAGCAATCTCATTTTTTTGCATCAGAGTTTAAAGTGATTTGAAACTCTCTGTCCTTACAGAACTATAACTGCCAGAAAATTGGGAACAATGTCTACCTGAGGCCCTTCCCACTGCACTGAAGCCTTAGTAACTGCAGGGAAACCATGTTCCAGTGTAAAGCCCTCCATCAGAATTTACCCTAATTAGAAAAAGCCACACATAAAGCAGTAGTTCAGCAATACACTCCACCAAACAGTTCAGAGCAACTTCAGGATGCTGATACAAGCCCAGAAAACATGAATATTTTGTTTAACTCATACAAATCCTAACCTTAACAGCTTACACATCAACAGCAATATACTCACACTGGCTCACTTTTAGCAGAACCATCAATCTAAACAGCATATTCCAGCCTACTAGATCAAGCTGCACAGCTCAAGCACTGAAGCACTCAACTAGTACCAGAGGGAGTAAATCAGGCTTTAGGCCCACTATAACTGCAAAGCACCAGCACTTCAGGATTTTTATCTAACAGATCATCTGAGCTACAGAAAAGTGCTGTCCTCAATTTCAGTTTAAAATAGTGAAATTACACAGCCTCACACTACCTCAAACACAAACTACCTCAATTGCCCTGAACTGCCACAAAGCACCAATGCAGACACAGATGTAACAACCTAAACTAGCCTTCCTTACACAGTGCTACAAAAACAAGGGGTCTATTTTTCCATTCTCAAGTTCTAATTTAACACCCAGTGACTCTAAGAAAAAAATTCACAATACATATTTTGCTTGTTTTTAAAACTTTTAAGTTTAATGGTTTTATCTTTACCATTAATAACACAAACACTGACATTACTTTTAGGATTTACTTTCCTTTCACAGGCAGCTACAGTTTTTCTCTATTTGACATATGGCAATACTTTTCTCCCTTGAGAGATATGGATTTGATGGGTAGACTGTTTGATGGACAAGTAACCAGTTGTGAGATTGCACCCAGAGAGCAGTGATCAATGGCTCAGTGTCCAGATGGAGATCAGTGACAATTTGTGTCCCACCAAGACCAGTACAGGGTCCACTGCTCTTTAATGCCTTCATCAATGACATCAGCAGTGTGATTGGGTGCACCCTGAGCAAGTTTGCAGATGACACCAAGCTCCCTGCTGTGATCAATATAGCCAAGGGATGGGATGCCACCCAGAGAGACCCTGACAGGTAGAGCACTGTGCTCAGGTGAATCTCAAGAAGTTCAATAAATCTGACAGCAAGGTCTTGCACCTGGATCACAGCAACACCCACTATCAGCACAAGCTGGGGGATGTCAGGATAGAGCAGCTGAAAAGGACTGGGGGTGCAGGAGGATGACAGCTGGACACAAGCCAGCACTGTGCCCTCGCAGCCCAAAGCCAGCAGTACCATGGGCTGCATCAAAAGCAGTGTGGAGGAGGAGGATTTGGCCCTCTGTGCTGTGAGACCTCACCTGGAGAGCTGCATCCAGATGGGGAGTCCTCAGTACAGGAGGGATGTGGACCTGTTAGAGCACGTCCAGACAAGGGCCACAAAAACAATGCAAAGAATGGAACACCTCCCTACAGGGAGAGGCTGAGAGATCTGGAGCTGTTCAGCAAGAAAAAGAGAAGGCTCTGGGGAGACCTGAGAGCAGCATTTCAGTACGTAAAAGGGGGCTGCATGAAGGAAGGGGACAGACTCTTTAGCAGGGTCTGATGTGACAGGACAGGGGGAAATGATTTCAGACAAAAAGGGGGGGAGATTTAGGTTGGATATAAAGAAGAAGTTGTTATTGTGCTTTTTTGGTTTTTTTTTTTTTTGTTTTGTTTTTTTTGTTTTTTTTTTTTTGTTTTGTTTTGTTTTTGTTTTTTTGTTTTGTTTTAATATTTTTACAGAAAGGGTGGTGAGGCACTGGAACAGTCTGCCCAGAGAGGTGGTGGAAGCCTCATCCCTGAAGACATACAGCATCAGGCTGGACGGGACTGTGAGTATCATTTGGAGCTGTAGGTGTCTCTGCTCATTGATGGACTAGATGAATCCCTTCCCATTCAAAACATCCTACAGTTCTGTGATAAGCTCCACATATAAGTCACAAGCAATACCAAACACTTCTGGAAACCATTTTATAAACATCTAGTATTGCATCACTGCCAACAGGTCTAAAAAGTACAACCCACAAAATTGAAATGTAAGTTCCTTTCACCTTTAACAAGCAATTTATCTCGTACAGACACCCTCCGAGTGGAATCAGAAGCTGGATTGGATGCACGGGGTCCTCTGACACCATCATCCCGCTTCAACTTGCTTGCCAGAGTGAGCATTACTGCTGTCTTCAGTCTAGAAAAAAAATACATAAGAATGAAGTCAATTACCAATACTCAAAGCACGAGGGAAGGGGAAGTACAAAAATAGACCCATGCTACACAGCTCTGGCCATATTCTTAACAGTCAAAGAAAACAGATCACTTGACTGCAGCTAAAGACGTGGACAAACTATAGAGTTTGAAGAACAAGACTTTGTTTCAGACCAGAACACTGACAGCTGAAGCAAGGAGGAAGTTCAGTTTTTGCTGGCAAAAGGTCAGACTTTCATCACTGTTTACAACCTTGTTTCACTGCACCATCTACCACAGCGTATCGAATCACAATGTGAATCCCACTGCCACAGCCAGACAACCTGTTCCCACCATCCTCATCTGTATCTCCTGTAACAGCATTCAGAACTGCTTTCTGCATCCAAAGAAGAGAGGAAGGGGAGGGCAGTGTTTCCTGGAACTACTCTGCCGCACTGGGAAGTGAGCTTTGAGTCAGACAGCAGCACACAGCGAATGGAACAGATTTAAACTGCCCAATAGTGACAGGATGCACTCTTCACAGCACAGCCATAAAGTTACATGTGGACATTTGGTAACTGAAACAAAGAGAGATTTTTGCTACGTCAATCCTCCACATCAGAAGAGAACTATGATGATCAGTCACAGCAGGAGTCAGACAGAATGCCAAATTCTTAAAAGCAAAGTCCTCTGCCTGAACATTTTGATGCTACTCCTACTTTAAGGCAGTTCATTCTTTTAAGAAGTTTCACTCTTGTTAGAAGTGTGGCCAAAACCAAATTTCTACTGACAAGATCAATACCCTTTAGGCCTCACCACCACTAGAAAGGTAATGCTTACCCTTTAACCATACAGTCTTTACATGAGCTAGTCTGAACAGAAGACTGGACAGATATGGTGCAGCAGTTCCCAAGACATGAAATAGGTGCTCATGCAACATCAGTTGAGATACTCACAGTGCAAATGGTCAAGTGAAGGAACTACTGAGATGAAGATGAGCATAACAGTAAATGACAAGACTAGAAACAAGATTTTTGTGTCAGCTCCAGCTCTACATCTCTCATTGCTTCTTTCTTCCTAAGCATGCCTTGAAATCACCAGGTCAACAGTAACAGCAGTTGCTTTGCTGATTGTGTTCGTTCCAGCCTTAAAGAAATCAGGTGGGAGAAAAAGCTTCCCTGGCCTGTCAGTCTCCTTGGCATATCTGCAGAAACAGCCTAACTGCTCTGCAGATTTGTGAGAATGCTGAGGGATTTATAACAAACCACATCAGCACCGAAGTACCAGCATGGGGAAGAAGAGAAATCAAACAACTGCTGTGACACTTGGGCATTCAAGGTAGAGGACTGGAATTAGATAAGCTTTAAGATCCCTTCCAACCTAAGCCATTCTGTGATTCTGTGTAGAGGAGAACATAACAGATAACTGAGTAATGAGGTTTAAAAGAGAGGAAAAACATGTGTTTTACAAGAGAACCCAACAGCACCACTCCCTGATAAGACACACAAGAAGGCCAAATTATCTGAGGCTGATAGGTACATGTCTTACATTTCAGATCCAGACTGAAAACAGTAAAACCTGGAGCAAACAGAAATCCAGGTTGCCCAGCTGAAACAGGCTCGGTTGTGTTCCCCCCCCACACACACACTGTCCCAGAGACATAAAATAAGCAGACAAAACAGTCTGCTTTCCCACGAAGAAAGGCAACAGCCGGTTTTAACGAGTCAAAAAAAAAAAAAGAAAAAAAAAAAAACAACACAGAAGGGAAGAGACAGGAAAACGGTGACACGGGCTCCTAAAAGCAAACAAACAGTAACAGAAACAGAAAAGAAAACCTACGAACTGCAGACAGCCTCCTAATGGCACCACGTCCAAACGAAGCCGGTATCAGCGGGCATTAAGCACCTCGCTACCTGCGTCCTAAAAAGCTGCGGCAACCAGAAGGCGCGCACCAAGGGGCCGAGCCCCAGCGCTGCCCCCCCTTCTGCTGACGGAGCCCATGGGGGGGGGAGTTCCGCAGCACGCAGGGGCTGCACGAGCTCCCTGCAGGCCCGCACCGCCGGGCCTCTCGCCCCTCAGCCGCGGGCAGGCAGACCCAGCCGGTGCTCCGAGGCCTAGCAGGCTGGTACCGCACGGGGAGACGCGGGCGGGTCCGAATCCAGATCTAGAAGCGTAAGGGGCGGCTCGCACCTACCTGAGCGCGGCGTCAGGGCCCGGCTCCCGCAGCCAACACCATCCCGGGGCTGGCCCGGGGCAGGGGCGGCGGCGCGGCTCCTCCTCCCTCAGCCGCCCGCCCGCCGCGCCGGAAGTGGGCGAGGACGTGGGCGGGGCTTGTAGGCACCCCCTCCCCTCCACCGGTTACGAGGGCTCTGCCAGCTCCCGCCGTCGTCTCGCGAGAGTTGGAGTTGGGCTCGGCCGGCGCCGTTTTGGGCGCTGTGCCCTTAGTCTTGTAACCCGTTCCCGCGCCAAGTTAGTGGAAGCTGAAATCTGTGTGAAATCACGAGATTACGTTCAGTAACGGACAGGAAATGACTGGGATATGCCGCTTCAAGTACCGACGCCATCGTATTTAACTGGAGTTTATCCATCCCGTTGCATGCAATGAAAAGGGGAACCAAAACTAAGCAATTAGTGGTTAGAAGGTTTTATAAAGCAAACGTGCAGACCAGACACAAAGTTCAGCAGGTAGCAACTAAATACCAGTTCCTGAACATTCACGGGAACACAACTGCTTCCTTTCTGAAAAATAAATCAGCACCGGGGTTTAGCTTAATTAAATCTATTTAATCCAACGTCATTAACCCAGCACCCTTTTTCCTCCTCTTTTTTTATTGGCAGGATTGGCTCAAACCAAAAGTTCCTTCCCTCTGATGCTTTGTGGACCTCTGTTCTGCTGTATAAAGCAATCCCTTGCTAAGACAATACTTGAAGCAGTACCACATTGACTCGGATGCATCCTTCCAGACAAGAGATCACAGAGTAAAGTAGAAACAAGGAACAGCATGGAAAAATACTTAAGAAGCAGATCTGAGCTTTTCTTCATCTTTTCCATACCATTAATAGGGCTCCAATTTACTTTTTTTTTTTTTTTTAAACCTACAAAGGTCAGAACCTTTTCTCAGAGCTTTCCAGAAACACAGCTGGAATTCCTTATTGCTTTTGATAGCACACAGTCATACTCTGGATGCAAGAGGCCATTTCTTAAAACCTGAGCCTTTAAATGCCTGCACCAAAATATTCTGCTATTACGTTTTCCTGGTAGATCGTTTTCCATTTCCTCTAAGCTTGGCATAAAACACAGCCTTCTGTTGTGTGAACCTACCTTCTAAATTTCCTTCTCGAAGGTTATTACATTTACCTCTCCAGTCTATGGATTCTGGGACTGAAGATATTGGGACATTTATCTGAGTAAAGGAGTGACAGTGCATGGTGTACCACGTGTCAGCTGCCCTTTCTTGGCTGTCTCAGGGCAGTAAGGAAGCCTCCATTCTGAAACGAAGACAGAAATCAAATGAGAAAGAAGCAGCATTCCCAGCCTCTTCTGCAGACACCTCTGTGGGAGTGCAGAAAGAGAATCAGGGGACGTGGGCTGCTGGGGGGACTTGTCCACGAGCAGAGAAACGGGGTTGGGTTGTGACTACAGAGGTAACACTCTCAGTAAGACTTCAGGAGTCCAAAGGAAACAAGAAGAAAATCATCACTAATTCACATGGCAGCCTGGAGTCCCAAGAGCCTTCAGCAGCTATCTGTCCTTCAGGCCGTCCTTCTAGTCCAAAAAAATTGAGGCTTTGCATGAGAATGAGTAATCCACCAACCACTCACACACGTGCAGAAGTCACCTGCAGATAGAAGCGAAGGTTATTTGTCAAAAAACCCTTGTAATCAAAGCAAATGAAAAGCAATCAGATCTCACTGAACACCACCTCCTCCCAGAGCAAGACAGTAACATCACAGAATGATTCCTGACTGTTCCTGGTATAATATATACGGGAATTAGTGTGAATTATGAACAGCAGTGAATGGGGGGAGAAATTACAATAACAAGAGCACTGGTATCTAGTACATTAAAAAACAGGGATTTAGCAGTGATGAACATTCACAGCCCCTGTTTGTCATCCTCTGCCCTCTCCGTGTGTTCCATCACTCTGCAGCTGGCTCTGGCACAGAGCTGCTTCACAGAATCACCCAACAGAAAGCCTTATGCATGTTGTGAAATCTCTCTTCCTGGAACCATCCAGGACTCACCCAGGTGTGTCCCTGCACAGCTTGCCCTGACTAGAGTTTGGCTGGATGCTCCTCGGGTTTCATCTGACTTGAAGGCCTTGTGTCCTCAGGAAAAGAAAAAACGCAAAAGTTTCAAGTTTCTGTTTCATTTTGGCTATTTTCCACGACAAATACCCTAAAAGTCAGTACAGCCCTACGCATTACTATTATTTTGTTTTAATTCCAACAGAAACCCACCTTCTGGCAGAACCTCTTCTGCCACAGCAGCCTTTTAAATCACCCTTTCTTGTGACAGCCTCAGATGAATCAGCAAATTGCTTACAGTTGTGCATAATTCTGTAGGCTATGTCAAGCCCTGGCAGCCAGTGCCTGTGAGATCTCTTCTGCTCGGTGCAGTGCTACAGATCAGCTCCCAAACTGCAGATTACTGGAGGAAGTATTGGTTTTTGCACCACCAACAGTGCACAGTCTGTGGGTGATGTGAACCTGGATTCTGATGGAAGAGTTGGGGGCAGAAGAAGTTTATGAGGTGATGCAGTGATGAAACTCAACTGTTGACTTTCTTAAGAAACAGAAAATCTCATCTGCGTGTTTTGGATCTCCTTGCTATGGCTGGGGAGACTTCTTGCCCCTGGTGACACCGTGTGTGACCTTCACAGCTTCACCAGCTCCCTTCTTCTGGTGACCAGTCTCCAAAGAGGCATCTGGGCCCAAACTGAATGATGTTCAGCACTGCTCATCCATCCTTTTTCTCCTCTCCCTGCAGGGTGCCCTCCTTCCCCAGCACTCCTTTTCCTATCCTTGTGGTTGATAATTAAATCACACAGGGTTCTTCTGAGAGCTTCTGGGATGGCCAAGCCTGGAGCCTTTCCCACACAGGACTGGGATGCTTTAGGCTTCAGATGTCCCATATTCGGTGCTACCCATCCTGGACCAGCAGGCAAGGACATCCCCAGCCACCACAGCATCCATTCATCCCAAAAGTGAGCCCCAGGAAAGGTGTCAGGGTGCAGCTTCAGGTGGCATCAGCACAGGGGTGAGGTTCTGCCAACTTCAAATGCCCAACAGCCATATTGGTATCATCCCCAAACGATTCTGAAGGGATGATACTACAGCAAGACATTGTGAAAACATGACGGCAGCTTGTCAGTTTAACGCATTTATTTCCTTTTTCATGTAAAAATAAATTATCTATACAAGTAAATATATGTAACACGGTGTGTAATAAATAGCGAGTACAGAAAATAGATCTCTTAAAAACAGTGTTTTGAAAACCAGCAAAACAAAGATACAAAGATGCTCATCCTCACTGAGCAGTACCTTTCAAGAAGCGCATTTCTTTACATCTTCCTTAAATATTTATAAATACGTGGTACAAAAAACCCCCACAAAACCCACAATAAATTAAGAGACTGTTACAAAATTGCTCCCTAAGCTCACATCAAAGAGACAAATAGGAAAATACAGCCAAGCAGTTCCATAAAGCAGCGTGAGAGCACCCGGTGCTCCCGGGCAGATGCGGGGCGCTGGGGCTAAGTGCAGTCCTCGCGCTGGGCTGCACACCGCAGGTCGTTCAGGATTTGGAAGATGTGCAGGATGGCTGAGGCCTCCAGGCAGCCGGCGGTCTCCTGAAATGGGAGCAGGGGAGGTGAGCACCAGGGATGGAGCACAAACAGGACCTGGGGGTATCATGGGTCCTTGGCCTCTCGCTGCTGAGCGCTGCAGGTTGCAAGGGCTTCCCTGCGTTGCTTGGGGTTGGGAAGTCAAGTTGCTGTATACGAGCGGTCAAAACTCTAGCCATGATTGGAGGTGCTGAGGAATGCCTTTTTGGCTGCTTCTTAATGGAGGGATGCAAAAAAGGCTCTAGCTTGCCCTTGATTTGCATACTCTGAAGTGGAATTTAGAGCTTTTGAATACAAAGCGATGAGCTGTCTGCTCAGGAGGCCCTGGAACCACACCAGCCGTCCTGCGCAGCATCCTGCCTTACCTTCTTCTTGGCTGTCTCCAGCTTCTGCAGCCAGTGCCTCAGTTTCCCAGAGGACTGATGTGAAGGTGCTTCGAGGGCCAACTGCAAGGAGAGTGATTGTAAGCACCAGTGATGCTCATGGTGCTGCCACCAACACCGACGCCACTGAGCTGGGGCTGCAGGGCTGGGGGGACACTCACGCAGTCTCGCAGGTCCTGCCGGACTTGGGTAAGGAAGGCCAGGGGCTGTTGGCACGTCTCAGCCATCCTCTGCGTTGTGGGGTTTGTGAGCATGGTGATGGTGAGGTCCAGCTCAGCCTTCACCAGGGCGATCCGGTCAGGTACCTGCAGGTGAGAGCATCGTGGTTACAGATCAGAAGCTGCCTCAGGGCGCAGAAGAAGGGGGTCCTGCTTGGAGGAGGGGTTCCCCTTCCATAGCATCATCCTTACCGACAGCTCAGCCGTGTTCCACTTCCGATGGAAGAGTCTGGTGTTGCATTTTCGGTTTGTTAATAGCATGATGTCTTCCTGGAGGTGAAACATGAGAGAATGGGGACAGATTGAAAAGCTGCTCTTGGATTTTGGGCTTTGTTGCACAACCCGCTTCCCCCCTGCAGAAATGTGAAACCAGCACAAAATTCATCATAGCCATACCCTATTGGTATGGGCAGGATGCAAGCATCATCCAAGGGCGGGTAAGTGCTGCTGCTCACTGTGCTAGGGACTGCTGTCCCCAAACTGCCTGCAACACGTCCAGCTTGTCCCCACACAGAAACACCCCGAAAACATCCATTTTGCTGCTCAGGGCCTGAAATTCAGCTGTCTCTCTGCCTCACTCCCCTCCAGCTGATGCCCCCCAGCCCAGGGCTCATTGCCCTAGATACTCACAAACTGCTCCTTCATCCTCTGCACTGCCTTCAGCTCCGAAGGTGCAGGGAACTGGTACTTGGAGAGGCTGCAGCTCTTCTTTGGGGTGACCCGAGGGAACGCATCTGCCATGAGGGCCCCCAGGGTCCCCACCAATATCATAGTGACCCCGTAGCATACCATCTTCGAAGCAAAATTAAACAAGTATAAGAAGAAATAGAATCAGGTGAGTTGGAGTCAAGTCACTCCTCCTGCTCCTCTCAAGTCACTCCTGCTGCTCTGCCCCATCTCTCTGGCTTTTAAGCAGCGGGCTGGATTGCACTTTCAGCTTGACAGGAAAATCCAAGGCAAGGCAGCTCTGCTACAGGAAAGCGAAAGCAGTGGAGAGGAAACCCCGAGGCCACAGGTGTGGCCACAGGTGAGGGCGCTGTGGGGATATGGTGACCGGAATGGGGCTTGGGACATGGTGGGACCCCACAGCACTGTGCGTGGCTTTTCCTCCCTGTTCAGCGTTCGTGGAAAATGCAAATACAGCATCTTCACAGCGCTGCCCTGGCAGCTGTAAAAACACACCCGCGCTGCAAGAAACCTGCCCTTTCCCTAAGGTAACCTGAGCTGTGGATCTATAACTGCGCTTGGAATGTCGTGCACTGATCATGAAGTATAGCCAAATACACCCATGTGTGTAAAGAGCGACCGTGCAGTAGTGCAGCACTGAGTGAGGACACCACAGCACTGCGCATCCAACATCTGCCGTTTCCTCGAGGTAACCTGAGCTGTGAAACTACATCTGCATTTAGTTCTGTGCATTGATCAATCATCAAATACAGGAAAATATAATCCTGCATGTGTAAAAAGCAGGGGCAGCTGAAGCAGATTATCATAGAAACGTCTGAGTTGGAAGGGACCTTTAAAGGCCATCAGGTCCAACTCCCCTGCGATGAACAGGGACATAAACAGCTGACCCGGTGCTCAGTGCATTGACCTTGAACGTCTCCAGGAATGGACATCCACCACCTCTCTGGGCACTCTGCCCCAGTGCTCCATTGCCCTGAGCAGGCACTCCAGGACCGTGTCTTTTTTTGCCTATCACCAAGGGTGGAGACCCCACAAATTGAGCAGCCTGTGCCAGCACACGATTGTCTCCTCAGTAAGACTTCGCTGTGCTCAGATGTGCTTTGACTTGGGTTCATTGCCTCCCGTCCCATCACCAGGCACCACAGTCAGGACGAGGAGTGGTGCAGTAGGCCAGCAGCAGTGCTCACTTCGCTCAGACCAGAGTCAGAGCTTGGAGCAGAGCCAGGACAGCCAGATGCAGATGTAAAGCCTGAAAGCACTGGAGACACAGACTTCCTGCTCATGGCAAGTCGTGGACAGCACTGCAGGACCAGGATCCACCAGGATCCCACCAGCATTGGGCTATATGACTCATTAATACAGCTAAGGTCAATAATTAAAAGCCTGAGCCTCAGCCAAGGCTTGGTTCTTCATTACCTTGTGTGCCCCAAGATTGGAAAGCTCCTCTTTCCTTTCTGTCCGCTTAAAGAAGCAAACACATAGAGAAAAATGCAGTTTATTCAATGCATTTGTTCATACTTGGTACAACGATGAAATAAAAGCCAAAAGCAATGAAAGTAACTTCATAGAAGCTACCCAAGCAAAGCATAGAACATCCATAACAGAAAAATCCCATGAGGTGTTAAAGCTGGGCACAACGTCCTCAATGCAGCTGGAGCAGCATGCGCTCCTGGGGAGAAAGGGCAACATGCTCATGGACAGTGCCAGCTCTTGCAATCTCACCTCCACCATAATCCAGGGGATTTACCCCAAAACCTGCACCCATCGCTGCTGGCTGCACTCAGAACAGCCATAGAGATGCTCTGTGGTGTCCCATTGGCTGCCAGAGCAGCATGACGTTGCTGTGGGACTTGGCTCCTTTGGTTCGTCTCCTCTGTCACTGCAGCGTTTATTTCCCCAGGCATCATTTCTGGTTGGCAAAGCGTAATGAGACGTCATTTCTTTACACAGGCAAGCAGGAAATCCCAAGGTGCCAAAGGAAAAGCGAAAGCAGAGCAGGAAAACCATAGCTGTAAGCACAGCACTGGAGCATGACACATGCATGGCTCCATCATGGGCACCGAGCTCTGAGCAGATGGCAGGAAAACCCAGAGTCCTGCACAGGGAGCTGCAAGAGATGCTTTCACACCAATAGGTTGTACCTCAACCCAGGCTGGCTGCATTTGGCACAGCTCCTTTGAACCACGTTTCTGTTGGCTCTGCCACTGCAGCAGCTGTCACCCACATAGCAGGTCCCCCAAAGCCACCACCTCGGCACACCATGGCCAGCCCAGCAGGGAGGCATAGGCAGCGATGCAGCCCTTCTTCTGTTTCTGCCCACAAGAAAATGAGCAGCTATCTGGTCTCACTACATTAAGAAACTGTTAATTGCATTCCACATCTATTGACTGTGCTGTTAATACATTGGGTGACACAAATAATTACAGGTGCCCCGCTGCTACAGAGTGGAAGAAAAGCACCGAGGAGGTTCGTTCTGCTTTTCCAGAGGAAGAAATCCCCAACTGCAGGAGATCCCCAGGTGTGGAAAGGAAAGCAAAACAGGCACAGCTATGCCAAGCAGTCACCAGTGCCAGGTGAGGTCATTGCCCTGTGACTCACCAGGAGGCTGACAAAAGCAGCATTGGCCACCAGCTGTGCTGTGCAGTAAAGAGGTATGGAGGGGCCAGGAGTTTCTCCCCCACCTTATTGGAGCTGGTTGTACAAAGACTTGGGGGAAAAAGGTGAAGCAAGACAAAATAATGCCCCAAATCCAACAGGTGGCCACTGCTCAGCAGCTGTCACCATCCCACCTGCTGGTGCCACTACCAGCACTCAGCTGCAGTGATGTAACTCATGCTGACACATCACCCCTGCATCATCCCTCAGAGGCTGACATGAGGAGAGCTGTTCTAGTTAGCTGCTGGGAATATAAACCCTTTTTTTGGAAAGCTCTTGTGCCAGTGCTGTAGGGACACAGCATCTCCAACCCTCTTAGGTTTAACACAGAGGACAGCCTGGGGATGTTGCCTCACCTGCAGCACCCCACAGGTATGGGTTGGTCATCCTCCCCACAGTGCTTCCATGGGAGAAAAACCCCATGGGACTGATAGCACAAAATCCCTTTTTGTGGGAAAGGGGACCCTGATCCCCTCACAGAGCACAGCTCTAGGGCACCGTTCCTGCCCAGTGCAGGGATTACGGGAACTGGACACATCCCCATGGAACGTCAGTGCCTCCAAAAAGCAAACAGGAGGTGACCAGCACCTGTTGAGACCCAGCTTTGAATCACTTCGCCTCTGCATTTCAGGGAGTGGCACACAATTACCTTTGGTGCACAAAGCAGATAAAAAAACTGAGGCTGGATCCAAGGGCTACGCAAACAATTCTCTGCAGGAGCAAGCCCAGGGAGGCTCAAGCTACAAGAGCTCCCTGCCAAGAAATTCCACAGGGACCAGAGCAGCCAGGCCCACCAAGCCTCTATTAGAGAAGCCAAACACAATTCCACTTTGCAACTTATTTTTTTTAATTGTTCAAGAAATTCAGCTGTTATAGGATTGCATGTGGGATAATAATCACAACCACCCTGGTGGGTTCCTCCAACAGGAGGGTGCTGGGCAGACTGGGAGCGTGGCACAGACCCTGTGGCCCTGCGTTAATCCACGTCTGCTTACAAAGATTAAGGCTTCGATCACTGAAATCACCACTGATCTCTCCAAGGAAGAGCAGGGTGTTTGGAATCCTGTTTCTTTCAGCACGAGGTCAGGAGGAGGCTTGCCTCACGCTTCCTTGTGCCCCAGGATGCAGACATGCCTCACCCAGAACTCCAGCGGGGTGTCACGTGAGGCAGCTCCCATCGTCTCCAGCAGCCTGCAAGAAGCAGAGTAAGGGTCCTCCATCTCCATCCCGCCATGCAGCACCAGGTGTGGGGAAATGACCACAAGCAGGGATGAGATTCTTTCTCTAAAACACTCCAAAGCTTGGAATACCAATTGGCAGAAACCGTTTCACAAAGCCATGCACCCCTCCTTCCCCTCAACCCCACTCTTGATTCACCCTGTAAGAGGACATCCTCCATGCCCTACTCATTTCCCTAGAAGCCTTTTTTTCCTTTTATTACCTCTTTTCCATCCTTGGGAGGAGGGTTTTTGCAGCCTCAGGATCACTCTTCATGAATACTTGGTATGGAGAGGCAGACTCTAAGTAACCGACCACACCAGCAACCGTCATGGGAATTTTATCATAGATATTGGTGATTCTAGAAAGGCAATGGGGAAAAAAGAGCACTGGCATGTTAAAAACAGGCAGTGGAACAAGGGCAACCACAGAGCGACGTAGTGATGAATAAAACTCATGACTTTATCCAAGGACCAGGAGAGGGAAGCATCTCGTTATGGCAGCTGATGGGTCAGGAGCAGCGTTCTGACCCACTCACGGTCATGCACCAAGGAGCTCCCGCTCACCTCTTCTTGTCTGGAAACGGCAAAGCCTCAAAGATCTCCTTGTAGTCTTCCAGGACGTGTTTTACTCTACCATGCGAGTATTTCAAGAGCTGGTCCCAAGCCTGTAATGACAGCAGATAAACACAACCACATTGAGCTCCTCATTTCCACAGAGCTCGGTCCTAGGCCTGCAGCATATGCACTTCTATGACACCCCTGCTCCCCTCTCCCCACACCAGCCCACCCTGCAGCCCTTCAGCTCCTCACCCCACCGCCTCTCCCCTCAGCACCCACCCACCACTGTATGTTTCCCCCTGCCCCAGGGGGAGGCTCGGTGCCCTCCCTCACCTCCCGGAAGATTTGGGTCAGCTTTTCAGAGCAGTCCCCGTAGTGCAGGCTCATATCAGTGGTGTAGGTGCTGATGGCAACGCAGCCGCCCGGCCGCAGCACGCGTTTCACCTCGTTCATGAATTTCCCAATATCAAACCAGTGCGCGGCCGTGAACGAGGCCAGGAGGTCAACAGAGGCATCCTCAAAGGGCAGCTCTTCTGCTGGGCACACCCTGGGGATGGGGGGAGAAAAATAACAGCGTGCAATGCTGGGAATTGCGGAGCGAGACACGAAGCTAAAGAGCAAGCAGGGAGCTGGGTTTTGCCTGCAGCACTCACAGATAGGAGATGTTGGGAGGAGAGGGGGCAGCCCTGGCCTCTTGGATCTGTGCCTGGCTGATGTCGGTGCCCACCACCTTTGCGAAGCGCTCTGCCAGGAAGGCCGTGCCTTGCCCCGACCCGCAGCCCACGTCCACAGCCAGCTGGGTGCAGCGGGGAGCCTGCAGGGACAGGAGGCACATTTCAGCAGCGGCACCCCAACTCCTAGCCCTGCTCACGGCTGGGTGCAGCTCCGGGGCCCCCGCTGAGCCCCGGCGGTTATCCTACTCCAAGTGAAGGGGTAAGGAGATAAACTGAGCACAGCTGTGCCCCACTCACCTTCTCCTGCAGGTAGGTGAGGATGGTGTCCTTCAGCTCCTTGCCAGGGGCAAAGCGGTACTTCAGGTAGACGGCTGCGTGCTGCGTGCCCTCAAACATCTGTGCAGCCATGCTGGGAGCTCAGGGCCTGTCCTGGTGGGACAGCGGTGCTCAGCCTGCACCCAGCACCAGGACTTTGCCCAGGGCCCTCCCTCAGCGTCCCCCACCATGGGGCCGTGCTCAGAAGCCGGAAGCCTCTGCAGCCATGTGCCGTTTGTGGCAGGCACTGCGCCAGGAGAGGAGCCCAGGAAGCGTGACAGGGACGTGCAGCTCCCACAGGGGCAGCAGTCAAGTGAGCTCACGTGAGCAGTGCAAAGAGCTCATAGAACAGCACAGCCCGTGCTGTTTGGGCACGCCGGGCAGGGAAGGGTTACAGCTTGCAATGCAGGAAGAGCTGCCGCTCTCTGTGCTCTCCATTCTCTCCATTCCGGCTGCTTTCAGCAAGGAGCATCAAACCTGGCTGCTCTCACTGGAATGCTTCCATCTGCTCCCTGCCGCTGCCCCAGCACCCCCAGCTACTCACCATACCAGCAACTCACCGCTCCCAGGCCTTCCTGCAGCGTCAGAATGAAGCTGCTCACCGTACAGGCAGCAGGGACAGGCTAGCTTTGGGGCAGAATGGGGCCCTGCAAGGCTCTTTGCACGCAAACGCCACGGGTGGGGTCACGCTTTCCAGGAAAACATTCCCAGCCCTCCTTACGTAGCTGGGGTGAAAGAGCAGTAGCGGCCTGACGGCACTACAGGGCCGACTGCTCCCTCTAGAGCTGCAGCACCGCATCCTGAGATCTCAGCTGTGAGGTCCCTACAGCCTTAATGCAGCATGCTGGAGCCTGAGAGCTGGGCTTCCCCTTGGTACAGGGACTGAGGTAATTAAGCACAGAGTAACTTCAGAACGCACACAGATGAGGGGGATGATCGGCAGCCCCAACTGCTCAAGCAGCAGATACCAAAGAAGAGCGAGAACAAAACTCCGTAGGAACCCCAACTCATACTTACAACCTGGTTGTGCTGAAGCCCTCTCCTAGTACCCTGCAAAAGGAGAAAGGCACTCAGGGTGCTTTTATAACCCTGCTCCCAGCGTTAGGAGCAAAGCCCCACACCTGGGCCAGGGCAGCCTGTTGCCATTTTGCGTGCATTCAGGGCAATAATGCTTATTGCACACAGCTGAGCCCCTGTTTCTATCTCTGTTAGAGATGGGGCCACAGGGAATGGGCAAAACAGGGCCTGGAGCCCCATCTCTGCTAGGGGTATTTGCAGCACTGTGCAGAAGCTGGTAATACTGCACTTACTTTTTAGAGGCGGTGATTTGCTTTTAGGACCCCAGAGAGGCTTTGGCTCTTGGGAGACTTTCCTTTGTTTATGTCACAGAATCATTCAGGTTAAAAAAGACAGCTAAGATCCCCAGTCCAACCTCAGCTCACCCCACCATGCCCACAGCCTTCAGTGCCACATCCTCACAGTTAGGAAACACCTGCAGGGATGGTGACCCCAGCACTCCCTGGGCAGCTGCGCCACTGCTCCAATGGAAAGGGAACAACGTTTATCAGGAATAAAGGGATGTGAAAATGCTCAGGGTTTCTGCAAGGCTCCTTCTGAACTCACAGGGCTCAGGGGCTGAATGACTATTTGCTGCAGCTGTGTGTGGAATGAAGGCTCCAGGCAGGGAAGGCAGAAGGCTACAGGTGAGCTGGTGGGAGCTGCTGGCATCCTGGGCTGCGTGCTGCTCGTGATCCACCAGAATGCTGCCAATGTGTAAACAAGGCAGCAGCCCAGCAGATCCAAGGGGAGGGCCGTTGCCTGCTGCTGATTTCCGAGTGCTCATAATTGTACAGGATGGGGGAAATCAGCTCAGGAGAGCTGAGGCTGGGTGGGATGGTGGAGATGTGTGCAGTGAGCAGCACAAAGCCATCGGTCCCTGAGTGCGATGAGCTCCCAGCGCTGGAAATCAGACCCTGGGTAATCCCCTCTGGCCCCGATCCCCGTGGGAAATAACCATGGGGCCCCCCTTGGCTGGACACGGGCCCCCAACCCCAGCATGTCCCCACAGGGGTATTGCACCGCTGCTGTGCCTTGCAGACGCACAGCTTCGCTCCCCAGCGCTCTCGAGCATCCGAGTGGCCATAATTCCCCGGAAGGGGATGGTAATGAATCAGCGTCGCCCCGGAACGAAGAAGAGGGGGAGAAATATGAGCGTGCCCTGCCTTCCTCTGCCCGTGCCCTGCGTGCTCGCGCTGTGCGGGGCCCCGGAGGGCGAGCGCGATGCCCCGCGGCGGCTGAAGGCGCTGGGGATCCGGGAGGGAGCCAGGGAGGGGCACGGGGACGGGCAGAGCCCAGCGCTGCTGCGCCCATGGGGCTGGGGGCCTGGCTGCGCTCGCTTGGCGGCTGCTGCGGCTGCTGCGGCGGGGAGGCAGCAGCCCCTGAGAAGGAGCCGCTGCTCAGGTGAGTGCCCCCGTCCCGGCTCCGGGTGATCCCGATCCCATCCCCATCCCCTCCCCGATCTGCTCGCACTGCAGCGATCCTCCAAGCGTGGCCCCGCTTTGCCCGCATCCCTCTCCCACCTTACGCTTTGCCCTTTTTCCCAGCTGTCATTCCGCAGCCGCTGCTCGGAGATTCCGAGGTCCCAGAGGGATTTTCTCCCAGCTCGCTTTCTGCCTCGTTTGGGTCTCACTCCCCGTGGCACAACGCATGCCGCTGCACTGCTCTCAATTTTCTGACAACCAAATGAAATTTGGGAGAGCAAAGCGTGTCTTTCACCATAGAAACCACCCGGCTTTTGTCTTTCCATTGCAAGGGTTCGGGGCTTTCATCGGGGAGGCTGGAGCAAGGAGCAGTGGATGGGGTCCCACTGGGGCTGCTGGTGATGCCCAGGGAGGGGAGCTGGAGGTCTGGAGGCGCCGCATTGAGCCTTTATCCGAACGCAGCATGAAGTTGAAAGATGACAGATCTCTAAGGCAGCCTGCATGGGAGGGGGTCTGCAGCAGCACCCAAACCCTCCCACAGCACTGCAACATTTCTGAGACATGTGGTGACCTATTTAGTTAGCGGGGACCGGCGGCAGGGATTGAAGCACCCTGATTTGGTGCTGTTAAAAGCAGCTCCTTAAATAATAACCAGATAATCCCGAGCATGGGGCTGGTGGGCCAGGAAATTCACATTAACCTCCTGAGAGCCCAGCACACGGGCAGAGAGGTGCAGGTGCTGCCTTGCACCTTTCTCTAGCAACGTGCCTCTGTGCACCGATCCAATTAATGCCATAAGCAGGAAAGCAGAGGCACCTGCTGTTGCGCAAGTGTGGCAGCATAGTTAATCTGATGACCTAATTGCTGGCTTGTCCCCGGATGGGAGGCTTTTGTGGTTTTATATTGCAAAGTGGGGGTCTTGCAGCAGCCTTGTTTAAAAGGAACGATGCAAATAAACTGAGAATTTGGGCTCCGAGTCTTGGGATGTATTAAACTGGGCTAAAAGCAGCCCAGAGCAGAAGTCTGTTGATGAAGTGTTGATGCTTCTGGATGAAGAGCAAATTGAAGCTGGTCCAAGATCCATCTGGTCTCATGGAAACTGCTGCAAGTGACACGAGATGGGAAGGTGGCCTTTCCTGTGCTGCTTTTTCCCCATATTCCCTCATGTTAGTAATGCTCAGCCTGCTGTCAGCTCTGGGCCGACACACCTCCTGCGGTCGCACCCCATGTTTGCTGAGGTTTGCTGGCTCCCAAGCACAGCTGGGGCCTCTTCCATGGGAATCACCTTGCAAGACACAAGGGAGTGGCTCGCAAAGCCAAGGGTTGCTGCCAAAAGATCTGACAGTGAGCAGGGTGGGTCAGTAGTGGGAGGAAGCAGGAGGATGGTGATGAGCTCACGTGGAACAGCGCCCTGTAGGCTGTGCAGGGTGAGAACCCCACAGAAAACCTGTTAGTATGGGGGTCTCTGGTGCCCCAGGACTTCCCCGCTTGCTCAGAACACCTGGAGATGTGTTGGGAGGGCTGAGCGGTGCCATCTGCACCCTGCAACCTGCCTGTTCCCTTGGCTTTAATGAGAGATTGGCAGAGATTATCTTCCCCTTGTTACCTGTTACTCAGGTTTTTGGTTTGCTGGAAATCTAATTAGGGAGCCACTTTTAGGGGTTTATCCACATGCTGGAGCACCCCTTAGCACTCTTTGTAATGCCATGACATTGGGGATAAAGAACTGCAGCGTGACCAAGGTTGGATGGGTGGATTCCTAGAGGAAGGAATGGGATTTGGATAGCAAATGGAATCAGCAGGGGTTGTTCTAGTGCAAAGTGAGCAGGAAGGGGGATCAGACTCGATCTCTAGGGTTCCCTTCCAGCCCCTACAAATCTGTGGTTCTGTGAAATGCCACAGGACAGCTGCCGGTACCGCTGTGTGAGGTGTAACATTTTTCCCCACTTGTGGTGTTCTTCTTCACTGTCTTGGTTAGAAACATGGGGGCCTGATGGAAGTACTCTGCCAGAAGTTCTCCCTGCAGGAGGAAACAACCCCATAAAAGCCTTGCATTTCCCACTCACAGCACCCAGCCATAAGCACAGGGCAAAGAAGAGCTCCTCACCACCATGGGAGGGGATGATGCTCAGGAGGTGATGCTTTGCCTGCTCCCCATTCATAGAATCATAGAATCATAGAATCATATGAGTTGGAAGGGACCCTTAGAGGCCATGTAGTCCAACTCTCCTGCACTGAGCAGGGACACCAACAGCTCCATCAAGTGCCCAGAGCCCTGTTCAGCCTGACCTTGGGCGTCTCCAGGCTTGGGCATCCATCACCTCTCTGGGCAACCTGTGCCAGTGCCTCACCACCCGTATTGTAAAAAACTTCTTCCTTATATCCAGCCTAAAACTCCTCTCCTTTACTTTGAAGTCATTTCCCCTTGTTCTATCACAGCAGCCGCTGCTAAAGAGTCTGTGCCCTTCTTTCCTATAGCCCCCCTTTAGATGCTGAAGCTCCTCTTTAGATACTGAGTGGACAAACCCAGGCTTTCCTTAAGGCCTCCAAGTGTTCCCATCCAGGTGTTCCCATCTGATGCAGCCCCTGCTCAGGTCAGACCAGGAGCAGGGTACCCAGGACAGGTCCCATTGGATTTTGAGCATCTCCATGGTTGGAGACCCCACAACCTCTCCGAGCAACCCACGACAACATTCAACCACCCTTTCTGTAGCACACTTCTTTCTTAGATTCAGTTTCCTGCATTTCAATTTCCATCCCATCCTGGGGCAGCACTGCAGAGGGGCCGGCTCCATCTGCTCCCTCCCATGCCAGATGGATGGGGCCAGCTTTTTGGGTCCATCACATGACTAAGATTGTCCTGAGCCACCCCATTTCCAGGTTTACCCATCCCCAGCAGCACCGTGTGCTTTGTCCCATGGCCATGCCAGATTTCAGCTGGCAGAAAGGGACTTTTGAGAAAGCTAAGGTGACACTGGGTGTTAACACAGCCTCATGTCCCCTCTCCGCAGCAACAACAACCCGTATGCTTCCTTTGGAGCCACGCTGGCACGGGATGAGGAGCAGAACCTGTGGAGCACCCCACACGACGTGACCCACACAGAGGCAGATGATGACCGGGTGCTGTACAACATGATTGTGGGCCGGAGCCAGCTGGACAAGGATTCCGAGGTGAGGAGATCAGGATGTGCTCTGAGATCACCAGTTCCATTTACTCCTCAGTTTGGGATGGTATTTTCCTATTTGGGGGTTTTTGTGATGGGGTTCCCTCTGCATCCTGAGTATTGCAGCTCCAGCGCAGCATTAAGTGCTCCCCTACTGGGTCGTATGGTGATTATTGAGGAACTGGCACAGAAGAGAAAAAAAAAAAAATCATCCCTGTTACATAAGCACTGTTTTGCAGCCCTGATTTCTTTCTCCAAACTGCTCTGTGCACAGAAGATTTCAGCAGCCTGATCAGGACCGCTTCATTCATGCTCAGCCCCACTGCTGTTACCGCTGGGGAACTGGAGGCACTCATGCTGCTCTGGGGTGCTCCCAGCTCTCCTGTGTCCCACCAGGCCCCGTTATTTGTGCAAAGAGAATTGCTGAGGGCACACAAGCAGCTGCAGCCTCCAGCTGCACCCTTTCTGGGTGGCAGTAGGAGGAATTTGGCCTGGAGAGCCAACATTCCTGTCCTCGGCCCCAAATCTCTCTGTCCTCCAGTGAGCATTGGAAAACTAGGCCAGCTTGCATTGCCCGCTGCCCCTAATGAGGGAGGGAGAAAAGTCTAATTGCAGAACAGTGCCAAGGGAATAATCTGCTTTGGGAGCTGCTGCTGGCCCTGGGAGCGGGCCAGTGCCACAGGGCAGGGAATGCTCAACAGCAAACACGACACAAACGGAGCACCTTTTTTTGTAAATCTCAGTTAAAATGGGAGCAAAAGGAGAGCTGCACCCCATGTGTCTGTGTGCTCACTGTGTCCTTCCCCACCTTCACCATGGGGATTTAGGATGCTGGAAGGACACAAAGAGCTCCCACCCCACGTCTCCACGTGGCACCACCATGGCCATCAAACCAGCATCTCATTTTTCCTAACCCAACCCATTTCTATTTTCTGAATCATGAACCTTTCTGACAGCGGTGCCAATAGCGTAAACTTAGGGGCACCAAGGAATCAGTGAAAAGAAGATGCTTCCCTCCTTTATGCTGGTAAGGGGCTGGCAACACTAACATTACCCTTGAGATCAAAGCTGCCATCCAAGCTCATCAACACTCGGGTCAACATTGCAAAGATGGAGCAAGTTTCTTTTCCTGCAGGATGGCTCCTGCCCTGCAGCAACATCAAACCTCTTGTGGTGTAAAATAAACCCCCGCAGCACTGTGAGGTGACAAATAACAGGAGATGGGCAACGTGCTGCTCCCACACTGCTTGTCCACCCCTGTAAAGCATCATTTTCTGCACTGAGGCTGCTCCTTCACACCCTCCCCAAATTATTCCTGGACAGCACAATGTTAGAGGTCCTCTGGGGCTGGATTCGCTTCCGTGGAGCAGCAACTCAGTAAGCAGGATGGATGAGAAAGCCGTAACCTAGATTCCCTCAAAACAAAAATAGATGGGAAATCACACTGCTCTTAATCCAGAGAGCAGCAGGAGCAGCTTCCCTGCGTGCTGGCCACTCGGATTAGTGACTTTCAGGGAGGGCAGGACCAGGCCTCTCACACTCAGCACATGCTTTCCTGCTCCTGCCTCCTCCATTTCCTTAGCCAAGGGCTGAAATCGTGTTCAGCCTCCTTTTGCTGGCAGTCTTATGGGTATTCATCAGCATCAGGAACCCAGGGAGCAGGATCCCAGGGGGGAGGCACAGATGAGCACCCCTTCATTCTGCAGGAGTACATCTGCGTCGCTCTGCTGCTCAGCAATGGGATTAATTGAGGCTGTTAGTGAGAGGAAATGATCTGAGTGATGCTACAACCTGCTGTGCGGACGCTTCTGTCGATGCATCCTCTTTGGTGTGAATGTGTTAAATTGATGTAGTAGAAATACTCCTGGTTGTGTTCCAGTGCAGAAATGTCTTTTTCTACAAACAGGCATCTCTAATGGCACTGGTTACAACTGTAATAATAACCTCAAGCCCTTCCCCTTCATGCAGCATCCCATTATGCAGATACAGAGATTGAGGTCAAGTCTGTGGAATTGAGCTATATTATGTGAAAGCATTAATTTCATGACCTGGCAGTCACTAAGGATAGTGATTATTTCAAATGGTTCCAGTTTGGCCACCTAGCATCCACGTGCACCCCTCTTCCTTGCTATGTACTGAAGGAAGTGGTCCAGTGGGGGAATACTGGTGGTAAGTGGACGGTTGGACTGGATGATCTGGGAGGTCTTTTCCAACCTTGGTGAGTCCATGATTTTGAAAATGCTACCCAACCTCTAAAATACTCTAGTTTTACTGTTCCCAAGTGCTTTTGAAGACTTAGGTGCTCCAGTTAGATGCCAGATCAGTTTGGAAAGATACTGTGTGTGTGACCTTTGTACAGCAGCAACTCTTATCTTTCTATAGGCTATGATCACCTATTAGAAAAGGTGCAATGCCAGTCTGACCGCAAGGCTATGCAAATAAGGCATTGCCATAGTCCACAGAATGTAATGATGAGCTCTGGCTCCATTTCTAGACGTTGAAATTCCCAGAAAAGCAGTATAGGCCTCCTCATATGCAAATAACTATGGCACGCCTCTGCTTTGCAGGAATGGCAAAAGCTCAACTACGATATTTATACCTTACGGCAAACACGGAAAGAAGTGAGAAGCAGGTGGAAGCACATCTTGGAGGATTTAGGTAAGAAGAAATATAAAACGATGTCTTGTCTACGGTGCTGAATGAGAAGAAGCCCAGGAGCCAGCAGCAGCAGGAGGGCAGGTGGTGAGGGTCCAGGAAAGCCCTTCCAACCCACAGCAACTTGGGCACACGGTCTTCCATCTGGGGTTTCCTTCTGCAAGAATACCTCACCCTGTGTTTTTATAAACAAGATAAGCATGGAGAAATGAATGTTCTCCCAGATGTGAAGGCAGACACACCTAGTTTTCCTCTCCTGCTCCTACCGTCTGATTGGAGCCAAATCACCCACTCCATTTGCTCCAAAGCGAATTTGAAATGTTCTTTCAGCAAATGAAATTGCTCAACAGCAGCACTCCTGCTCCAGGTGGCTGGTGGCTAATGAGAGGAGGGCTTGGAGCTGCTCCAGGGTATTGTCACTGGGAGCAAAAGAGGTGGGGAACTCAGCCACTCCTGCCCTACCTGCTGTTCTGGCACCTGGATGGGAGGAACGCTGGGAATTCATTCATTCATTCAGCTTGTGCATCACTGCCAGCTCCCTGGTGATACGTGCAGAGTCAGTGGTGGCAATTACATTTAAAGATCTCATGATCACCACACTAATTCATTTTCCTCCCCCTTTCTTTCCCTTGGCACCCTTGCTATAAGAGATGGTGATGGCTATATCAGCACTCGCACACGCATTTATTGCTGCAAAGGGACTCCCACTGCTCTCTGCACGTTTGGCTCCTCTCTCTAACACATCTTCTCCCCAGGTTTCCAGAAGGAAGCAGACTCCCTCTTGTCAGTGACCAAACTCAGCATTGTCAGCGACTCTCAGAACATGAGCAAAGCCCGGGACATCCTGCTAAAGCTCTCTGAAGAGACAAACATCTTTCCAACCAGCTGGGAGCTGTCTGAGCGTTACCTCTTTGTGGTGGTGAGTAGCTCCTAGTGTGCACCCCTCCTTCTTGCTCTGGCTCTGCAAGTGAGCTCAAACTCAGGGAGCAGGAAGGTGACCTGCACCAGAGGATGCTCAAAGAGGTGGTGGCAGTGATTGTACAATCCCATTGCTTTGGCAGGACCGGCTGATCGCTCTGGATGCTGCGGATGAGTTCTTCAAGCTGGCCAGCGTGGTCTACCCAAAAAGAGCCAGTATGGAAAGAGTGGATGAGAAGCACGCCCCTGCCATGACGCCCTGAGGAGCATGGGGACTGTGGGTTTGCCTTCCCTTGGGACCAGGCTCCTGTGCCAAGGGGCTGCAGCATGAGTAGTGCTGTTCCCTGTTTCCCTGCCCAGTAGTGGGCTGGCGATGCCCCACAGGGATGGCACGGGAATTCAGTCCATCACAGTGTAGGGTATGCTGTGTAGGGTATGCAAATAGGCACAGGGGAACCCTGCACCAGTAGCTGCAAACCATGTCCCCAATGACAGCACTGCGAGGACGTCTCCCTTGTCACCTCCCATGGGACCTTCGCCTCCCTCAGCCCTCGAAGCCAGGAAGGAAAAACACCTCGCTCACCTGCAGCCTCATGACATTTCTCTGTGCAACAGACTTGTTCTTTGTCCCCAGGGGCTTGGCCCAGCAGCTCAGAACAGAACTGACATCAGCATCCTGGCTCTGTTGATGCTGGGTCCCCAGCGATGGGCATCTCGAGGAACTCATGTCAAGGGATGCTCAGCCCAGCACTGTGAACAAAGGTGCTTGTTAGCAAGGCTCCGTGGTTGGACCTGCTGAGAAATATTCCTCCTGTAATGTCCTTGGATTGATCACCAACGTCTTCCTCCATTTCCAAACGTCCAAGTCTTAATTGCAGTAATAAAAAGCACCACAAAGTTGGTGGTCCGTGTGTATGGTCAGTGCTGTTAATGAAGATTTTTAATGGACACCCTTTGTATCTTTCTTCTGTGTGTGTGTTATGTGTCTGATAGCAAGCAATAATTTTAAAACACTGGGTTTGCTCATTTGACAACAAGTGGAAGTTCAGCACTGGTTAACATTTGCTGCTAATGGATCAGTTGAAAATGCTGGTTACAAAGGACCTCCCAAAAGAACAAAATAGAGCTTTTATTTGTTTATATCTACAGAGTTTGAGATATATATATATATATATATATTTATGAAATGTTTCTGTTTGTCTGTCTTCCTGGGAAATATTTTTTGTCAGCTCTGGACATCATTGAAACCTGAATTTAATAAACAAAACCTAGCACAAAACCAAGGCTTCTTACTCTCTGTGACCCCACTGGGGCAGCTACATTTATCTCAGCTGCTGATAGCAGAAGGGCTGAGCTATTTCCAGATCATGGACTTCTGCAACCTGTTCTCCATACCCTTACACAGCTTGCTGTTGACTTGCAGGTAAAGGTCATTTCCAGCCTAAGACCACAGCCTTCATACAAGGTGATGGGGACTGAACTGAATTTCAACGGGATTTGGAGTTTGGTACCCATTTCCCATTGACCTTTTTTTTTTTAGCTGCACTTTGGAAAGGCTGCCATGCTTTTAGAGAAAATAAATAAACCTTAGTGTGAGGCAACTCATGTGCTCGAGGGTTTGGTTTGAACAAGCTGTTGCAGAACAGGGAGATCCAGCAGCCCCAGGCACACAATGCCAAAGCACACATGGCCCCACAAAAGCCAGCCCTTGGGATATCATCATCTTACACTTCACGTTATGCAAAGCTGCCTGATGGGTTCCTAAACTGATGGGTTCCTAAATCACTTCTGTGGGGCAGGAAGGAGTAACCAGGCCGAGGGCTCCTGCTTCTAACAATATACTGATTGCAACACAGGCCTGCCTGAAGTGTTCAAGGGCATATTTAGGCTTTAATTTAGGTTTTAACAGGGGCTTTGGGGTGGACAGGCTGCTTCACAAAGTGATCCAGGACACGTTGTTAAGCAGCAAATCCCTCTCCATCGAGAAAGATGGAGCAAAGCCACCAGATCCTGCTCCTCACATCCACTGACACCAGTGAGCACCCAGATGGGAGTGCAGCTGTAAGGCAGCTCGGTGAGCACCAGAGGCCACTCTTCCCTTAGCCATGCTGTGAGGAATCATCTTCAGAAGGCAGTGAAACATTGCCAGCCTTTTCATGCGTGCACATGGTCTCCGGTCTCCCATCTCTCTGAGAACCAACCAGTTCATATGATAACAAGAAACAAACAGCCAACGGGGACAAATCAGGGCGGCTTCTTGGAAGTGATAACAAATAATCAAGCATAAGCTCTGAGTCCTTCCCCTTGCTTATTTCAGACACTGCCTGCATCTATCAGGCCATTAAGCAAACCCGGGCAAATGCTCGTGGCTAATTGTTGGCCAGTGTTGGCTTCCCAGTGGCTGAGCAAAGTATTTTAGTATTTAGGAGCTGCACAGTAGGGCTCCCATCCTCTACACCAAAGCTAGGAATTACATATAGCACAGTCACCAGCCCTATGAGAGAGCAGCTGTAATCAAACTCAAGGGATGGACCGTTGTGACTGTGCACAATGTTTCTTCTTTGCACTCTGAACTTTCCTGGGACACGCATCGTGAGTTCGGTAGGCTAAGAAGAAAGCTGGGAATTGGGCTGCGAGCTGCAATCCGGGCAGAAGGTGGCAGTGCAGGTGTTTGGTAAAGGCTGAGCAGCAGCGGGCAAAGGAGATGGAAGGGAGTGATGTAAATCACGCCGTGAGCTCTGATAAGTAATGGGAATGGACATGGGAGAGAAAACTGACATCTACTAAATTCCAGCTGTAGGAAAAATCACCATTTCAAACCACTCCGTTTCAATCGTTTCTAACGTTAGAAATACCAGCACTTACAAACCTTTCCTGGAGGAAAAACCTGTATTTTTCTAATCTAATGAGGATCAGTAACGTTGATTGACCTGCCACAGAACAGCTCCCCAATAGTTTTCCTTTGAAGACAAGCAACCACTTTTGCATGGGGAGTCCTTGTTACGCAAGTTAATGCTTACTGAAAGCATTTCCTTGTCCTACAGACTGCAAATGTCATGGATGTATTGGCAGTGCCTTTGCACAGGGAATCCATGGAAAAATCCAACCCCCGGGCTCTGCTTAATGCCCCAGGCAAAGCCTCGCATGGCCAAAAGCTTACTGGTTTTACTATCAGTTGACTCATGAAAAGCACCACCTCTCCCTATAAGCTTTATCCTCATCCTTTAAGGAGAAATATCATCTTCTCAAAGCGGTGATACATTCCAGTGACTATTTTATCTTATTTGGATGAGTGGAGGGAGACATCACGGAGGCTGACACGGTAGGATCCCAGCTGCCATAAAAGAAACAGATAAAGGCAGCCATATCAAAGCAAGGCAAAAAACAGAGGCAAAAGGGCACAGCCCAAGGAAAGGCATTTTGGCAGGTGGAGAAGGCTGTGTGCCATGGGTACAGCACTGGTGCCAAAATATGCCGTGGTGGTGCTGTGGAGCACGTTAGCTGGGCATTGCCAGCAGGATGAGATGTGTTTGTGTGTGCCTGAATTACCAACATTCAAAGCAAAGCTGCGAGTTCTCACCGCCAGATCAGAAAGAAGGAACATTTGGGAAAGGATGTGCTACCAAAAGATCATCCATTTGAGAGTGGCAGCTTTGTATCTGTTGAGCTGCTGGGATTTCTTCCTGTTGGCTTAGCAGGGCTTGAGTCAGACTGCAGAGACATAAACACAGGGCAAGCCCAGACACTTCCCCAGTCAAAAACAAACCTTCTGCCAATTGCCCATCCATGGCTCTTCTGCATCAAAGTCTCAGAAATAACAGCCAGGGCTCCTGAAGAGATTTCCATGAGTGGGGAGAGGATCTCTGTGTGCCTGAGGGAAGAAAACAAAGCCCAAAGTATTCCTCATCCCATAGGGATCACAGGTTGGAGGGACCTGAGGAGGTTATCTTGGCCAACGTCCTTCTGTAAAGCAAATAGCTGCCCTCTTGAGAATGCTATGAACAATCTATATGGAGAACGTGAATGGAAGGAAAGGAAGGAAACAGCATTATTTGGTGATGGGGAGATGGCCAGGGGTTTGGAAACTCAGTTTCCATTCCCAGAGCTGCCCATCTCCATCTGCACATCCAGGTTTGGGATGGGGAGGTTGGGACCTCCAGGGGCTGATGGCAAAGAGATCTTGCTATTCCTGCATCTGTCTTCAAGCAAAAGTTTGTATATCAAAACCGTTCACAAGCCCATTATCCAAAACACTCTGCTGTAATAATTTCAAGATGTTTTCCTTCAATTCTGACTTTTTTTGTAATGCTCTCCAGCTTTTTTGGTACAAGCCGGATAAAGCATTGTTTCTACCCAGAAACTAAAACTTCAGATTTAGATCACCAGCAGTGCCAAAACATTTTCTTTTTAATCTGGGGGCAATGCCTGTTCCTGCAGATAGTTTCAGCTCTGATAAATCAGCTTTGCCAGACAGAACGCTAAGTTTAGCTTTGTTTAGGGCTTTAACCCTTTGTTGTGAGCCCTACTGACAAAGCGTGCTGCATGGCAGCTAGTCATGTTCTGATTATTTATCCAGTGAAAACATTCAAAACAGAAGAGAAGGGCACCTTGTAACCCCTGGGGCTGTGCCTAAGGGAGATCCCACAGCTCTTAGCCCTGCACAAGGTGTGTGCAGGCATGCTGAGGAATCTGGTTTGCCTGGGTACATCTGTCCCAGTCAAAGGCAGCCCGGTGCTTCCGTCATCTTTTGTGAACTGGTGGATCTGCTCAACAAGTAACATGGCCACCACTCCCGAGCTAACCAGACTCAATTTGACAGTGTTATTTGGCTTTTACTTGTCCAATTGCATGGAAAATATTTTCACTTTTCCTATTTACCTCTTTGGATGCACCACAGAAATGACCAAGTTTGGGTGACCACACACTTGCTATCAGAGGAGAAGTGCACACTGGCTTATGCCCCCAGTTCTGCTTTCCAGAAGGGATGGAGCTTCCCAAGGGATGTACCAACACACTGGGAGCAATGAGCATTGCAGGAAGCCCAACAAATACACAGAGTTCTGCCCCTTGCTCAGTTGGCTGAGGTTGCATGGGATCTGCTCACCACCATTCCCATGCTGGGTGGCTTCCTGACAAACATGCCAGATGCACAGAGTGCAGCCTGGTCCCCACCAGGGTATCACTGATGAAACAAGCACGCCTACATATCTGTGACATTGCAAACCAGGAGAAAGCAAGACTCATGCCCCCTCTGCTCCAGCCACTGGGTCTCCCATGAGCATCATCCAGCCTGGACACACACTGAAGATCAAATATGATCACAAATGCAGCACCATCCCACTGTTTGCCACTCCTCATGCAGCAGTGATGCTACAAAACCCAATATGAAAGGCTGCACGGCAATAGGACCAGCAGCACACATCCAGCCCTTGCTTGTAAGCCAGCACAAATCATGCAGACAGACAGACAGACAGACAGCCAATTAGCAGGGTTTTGCTGCTCAGGGTAGTTTGTGCTTCTAAAAGCCCACAAATACCACTTTCTAGCATTAATTTCCTTTAAATCCTTCACTATTTTTTCCTTTGCTAAGCTGCAGCTAGGAGAACCAGAGATGACAGGGTCATCTCCTGCAGACACAGCAACACAGAATCATAGAATGGCTTGGGTTGGAAGGATCATCAAGTTCCAACCATCCAATCATCCGAGTCCTTTCCATCATTCCCATCCCCACCACGTGCCCTCCATCCTCTCCATCCCCACTGCCTCCACCACTGCCTCCTCCCCTGCACCCCTCCCAGGCCATATCACATCCAGTTCCCTTACAACCTTCCATAGGAAGGGTTTTTTACACGCAGGCGACAGTGAGCTGTGGGTAAAGCAGAGGTCAGCACAGCTGGCTGTGACTGAGCTGTAAACACACCTGGCTGCAGCAGTTTATCTCTTCCTTTCAGCACGCCCAGCGCCGTTCTGCACTCAGATTCCTTTCTGAGCCATAAAAGATGATGCTTCAGCACCTGGGATGAAGCTCCTGGGCAGACCCAGCATCCTCAGCTCTGTGCAGCAGCAGGGTGCAGGAATTCCCAACCCCTCATGCAGTGGACTTTCCAGGATCGCATCCCATTGGACTCCTT